GACCCTCAGCACCTGAAGACGAAGAATACCCAGATGAGGCAACAGAAGAGGTTGAAGAGGAGATAGATGAGATTTTGGGATGTGGACTATGGGTGGCAAAAGAGTTAGATGATGCATGGCCTGGAAAGACCCACAGCACTCTCATCCTCACGACTACCAGGACCCTGCACCGTGACGACTCCGAGCCGAACCTCCCCTCTAATAACATATCCCTTCGCCACGACAACGATCTGCAGTTAATCAAGACCTACCTGGAAACCCTCTCTTTCCCATCCTCTATTCCAGACTCAGACTGACTCCGCCTCCACAAATGCGCACATCAATTTTTCGCTCAAGGCAGTCATCTCTGGCGTAAAGACTCGGTGGGACGTCATCAGCTGGTACTTTTCAGCTCGGACCGTGCTCGTATTCTGCACGAAGCCCACAATAACCTTGGTCACAAAGGTTTCTATTCTACACAATGCACCATCACCAACCGCTTCTGGTGGCCAGCACTTGACAAAGATCTCACCTGGTACCTTAAAACGTGCCACCAATGTCAAATCCGGTCCGTCGAGAAGGTTGTCATTCCACACACAGTCGCTATCCCATCAACACTCTTCCAAAAAGCCTTCACAGATTCAATGTACATGCCCACAGCGCATGGATATTCTTACATCGTTCAAGCACGCTGCTCGCTGTCTAATTGGCCAGAGTTTAGAATGTTGAGAAAGGAAACCGGAAGAACACTGGGAGCGTTCCTATTCGAAGAGATTCTTTGCCAATGGGGCACCATAGAAGAAATAGTAACAGATAATGGCACCCCGTTCGTTGCTGCACTCGATTGGATCGCCCAAAAGTATCATATCCGGCACATTCGTATTTCTGCCTATAACTCCAAAGCCAACGGCCTCGTTGAACGCTCTCATCGTTCTATTCGCGACTCTCTTGTAAAAGCATGCAACAGAGACATCACTCAATGGCCTACCCTCACACACCATATCTTTTGGGCTGATCGTGTCACTACTCGAAGATCTACTGGCTATTCCCCTTATTATTTAGCCCACGGTATTGAGCCATTACTTCCATTTGATTTCGTCAACGCTACCTTCACCTTCCCCGATGTCACATCCCTTCTCTCGACTAATGACCTAATTGCCGCCCGGGCCCTTCAACTCGCTAAGCGAGATGAAGATCTCGCACTCGCTCACGACCCGACTTCTTAACAGCCGTCTCGCATCAATCAAGGATTTCAAGCATCGCTTCGCCAACACCATCCACGATTATGCATTCAAGCCTGGAGATCTAGTACTAGTCCTCAACAAAAAGATCGAGGCAGCTGCAAATGCTAAGTGCAAGCCACGATACTTTGGACCAATGATTGTAGTCTCGCGCTCCGCAGGCGGCTCTTATCGCCTCGCAGAAGTCGATGGCTCCGTCTCCAAACTGAAGTTTGCAGCTTTCCGAATTATCCCTTATCACCCACGCTCTCCCACCTCACTTGAAGTCATGCAGTTTATCAACCCTCAAGCTCTCGCAGGTATCGACAATGAACAAAACTAGATGCGTTGTTTATCTCTCCCTCTCTACCTAATCTGCATTTCTATTCTCTACTATACAGTACGATTTTCCTTTTAGTTTATTTGTTGGAAGATCGACCGAGGACGGTCGATATTCGAAGTTGGAAGGGGATGTAAGGATTCAATATCCTTTATGCCCCGACCGCGCTTCAAAATGAAGACGATCGAATCGCCACGCGTTCGAACTCGTCCATGTGACACACTGATGCGAAGAGCGTCACTCTTCGCATCCGAGTCACGCGGATACATTCCTTTACATCTCCTTTTCACTTTCTTTCGTTATCTCACCTTGTGCTCACACTCCACGATCTCCTTGCTTCACCGAAGTATTTTCACCTCTCCATATGCTTCGTATTCTCATTCAGGTCTAGCCAAGTACTCGAAAACGTATATAAACCGCCCATGTACACTCATACCTATAGCAGAATCCCAGACGCTGATTCCCCGCTCCAAGCTCGATCGAAAACTATCGCAGAAAAGTCCTCGTCTTATACATTTTCTCTATTCGTCTCGTTCGCCGTTGCGCTCGTCACTTATCTACTTCGTCTCGTTACATTTCCCCTTCGAACTCACAACTAGCCTTACAGTCCGTACTGTTTGATTTCCTTGGATAGCGGGGGACGATGGTTGGTTGTCAAGGAAGATATGAAGTGCATCTCTGCTGCAGATTCCTCCGCAACGGAACATGGAAGTTACTGCAGAAAAATCCACACCAATGCCGCACAAGGCTCTTGCCTTCAAACACGATGCCCGACGGATATCAGGGCAATTGTGGTGAACCTACCTCAGTCCGTTACCGCGAGCCTGAAGGTGAGTCACCTCTCCTAGTCTCACCATACTTAGATGACTGACGGTTTACGTGTATGGACTAATACTTAGTGTGCAACGTTGGCAGTAGACATCCCAGGACTACATTACCTTTGGTAAAGTGTAAGTACTCAAATACTCTGAGTCGACAGTATATGTCAAGCGAAAGTGTTCAAGAGGGACTGATGTACTGTGTACCTAGAAATATCCGAGCAGGTGAGACTCTGCCTGTGCAAGTTGCATCAAGCAGGAAAGTTGTTTGCAGCGCCAGACCTGAGACCAATGACTTCCCAGCGCTGAAAGCCCTCAGCCGGAGCCTATCATAGTAAAACCTGGCGCTTTACCGTACCTGACGCGGCAAAAGAACACCGAAAACCTCAGTCATGTTCGCTAATCACCCTAGCAGGCAGACCATATACCGTAGAAGAATGGCTAGTGTAAGGAATTGTATTCCCTTGGCGATGGAACCCTTGATGGTGTCACTTCCCTTCTTAGGTCTTCCATAGTTCACGCTACATATAAAAAGTACAATTTTATGTAGTAGTTCTACAGAGAATTGTCACCCTCTCTCTCACGGCGTTTGAACTCGCAGCCTTGTCACTACAACATGCAGCAGACTTACACTAGTATTTCCTTCTTGGTCTGTGTTGGACCGAGGAAGAAGAACCCGGGGCCTGTCGCGCTTTTCCTTCGCGGTGTGAGTTGACCGGGATCTTGAAAAGAAGGGGGCACATAAGGGATATCGTAAATGCAGGCCGTCAACTCTATTCAGGATCAGATCACCAGTACAATCACCATACTTAATAATAATATATTGCTGTATTCATTATTGTTCAAGTTCGTTGACGGTGCCGGTGCTGTGCCGAGGTGTGACACGACGTGACCATATTTTCAACTCATTAGCAGTCAGACCCTGAATTTTCTCGGCTTTTATAGATCACTCTAAATTCGTAGAAGATAATATGAAGTGGCTACAAAAGATTTACTGAAAAAGTTGCAGATTACCCGGAATGATATATAGTAATGATTCAGCTTCACATTCAAAAAGCTTCAATTTAACTCCTCGCCCTTCCCTGATCCGAAACTACGGTAAATGAGGGTAAATGCTCTTGCGGTTATTTCGCACATACACAAGCCCTTAGTACGTACGTACGTCTGGCCACCCCCCAGCACCGTAACTATGATACTTTGTTTACTTAACTCGACTGGACGATCGCAAGCTTCTGAAACACACAAGTACGACAAGTCCCACACTTGATCTACCTATTAGTTGATGCGCCATATCTCAGCATATTTCTCGAAAATCTGTGCCTCATGCCCCATCCGTAGGCAATTCATTCGGGAATCAGCGCCTCCCGTTCTCACCAGCGCGTGTTCTGGTCTGGTCTCGTTTCTTGGCGGTCCCCTTCTCCCCGCAACCCAAGACGCGTCTCCGCCACGCTCAGGAGGGTTTGTTATACCGCAGTCTCCGGCGTCTTGTGGTGCAAAGTGCCCGATCCCGAATAGTTTTTTTTGTAAAACAAAATCAATCCCGCGTTTATTTGAGTTTTCAATGTCAGTCTAGACTACAGCCTACTAGTTATCTCGAGCGCTTTGCTCCGGACGGCACAGATCGAGACATGTGGCGGAGCCAGACCCTCCGAGCTGCCCGCCACGCGATGGAAGCGAAGTTCAAACTTCCGTGGCACACTCAAGTTGGACTAATAAATACTTTTCCGTATCTCACTCAATCCCTCCAATTCCTACAGCAGTTCCCGCCGACTAAGTTTTTATTTTTATTTTCATTCAAGCTCAGTGGGCGTTGGCGGTGGGCATCGATATTCAAAATGTGCGCTGGGAAGATTCTTTGACGCAGTTAAACTTTAAAAGTAAGTAACTCATGCATCCATCGACGAAGATCCAGGCTCATAGCAAGTATTGCTAGGATATAGGTAGCAAAATGAAATCATTAGATTTCTCGAATCAATACGTGTAACTTGGCTGTAACAGAAATACGCAATCACGAATCACAACACACTATCCCACAGACAAATCATCACAATATGCCAATGTCCTTGGCTGGGTGAAATAAAACCTCGTAAAAGCCAATTCCCATGTCGCGGCATCATTCACGACCAACCATTACAGCAACCCTTTACCGCCAGGTCCTATGCATCCACCCTGCTACTTATTGAGAAGTTCCGCCGGCTGCCAAGCTAGCACTCAATTCGATCGATCCTAATCCCGAGAAGTACGCAGGAGGCCTGATCGGCAACAAGCTAATACACCGATACCGAATTGAAATCTACAGAAATTCAACTACATGTTGCATAGATCATAGCGTCCAGCGACACTAGTACAGCCTGAAAATATATGGAACGACACAATAATGATTCCTCGCAACCTTAAGCACAAGGAACAAGGTGCACCCATTGATTTGATCCGATTGCCACCAATCTCCGGCAAAAGGACCTATTTTCGCTGAGGCATCACCCCTAATCACTGTGGGAAGTCAAGGGCCAATAACGAGAGCCTCGTTTATGGTTCATGTATGGTTCGTTTATTCCCGTATCACAGCCAGCCCTGTAGCGATCACCTCGCCCTGCATGAGGGTTTCTCTCAGGTTCGAATTTTTCATAGGGGTTCATTCCTCATCATCTCGTTATTTGCCGGCGGCGGCTAACGTTGGCTACTTGGCCATGACATATATTCTGCTCCGAAGGTATATTGTTCGAGGCTACTGCATGTCGAATATTTAAGGACTGCGGGGTATCTAGTCTCCCCCAGCACATCCAACATGGACCCCCCCATAAATACTTGGAACTTGTAGGCCCCACAACATTCATCATTGCTTGCCTCACCGTTCTTTTATAGTACAACCATACCACGCCAACTTATAGTCGACGAAGTGGATCGCTCCTTTGTCGGGCTACCCAGCAATCTCCCCTACGATACCAACATGGTAAGAATACCTTGATGGTCCTTCCTGATACTGATCAATCAAAAGACGTCTCCGAGCTCAACAACACACGTCAATCATGCGTTCACGACGCCTATCCTTTCAAATTCAAAGTTAGTCACTCCTTCTCTTCCCTACTACAGGCAATTATTATCTTGCCAGCAGTTCCCAGTTCCCTTTGTTCCGAGGCGCCAGCGCCAGCCACTCTAGTTCCCTTGAAATGGGAACCAACTACTCTGGGCCCTCTTCACGTACTTGTGGATCCCCGCCACAGATCGACTTCCTTCATTTTGCCATCCCCCACCCAAACGCTCCACCTTCAGCTGCGGAGTCTTCGCAATTGATATTCACATCGCATGCCACCAACCAGCCGTACCCAATCCCGCTACAGAGCCATCCCTCATCTCTCCTCCATCTGTCCTGTCGATGGGTAAATGATGACATACTCTGCGAATTTACAGGGACACTGGAGGAGTTGAGGGCACACTGTCAAAGCGATCATTTTTCTGGACAAAAAGATGCGAAGATAGGATGCCAGTGGGATGGCTGCAACTACCGCAAGCGCGGCGACAGAACAGTTCATGTCATGCGACGTGATTGCATATGGCGCCACACCCGTGAGGCCCACCTGAGGTTGAAGAGGGGTACCTAGGCTTACATACCTGCTTTGCATATTCATTTTGGTCTTATTTTCGCATTCCTTACGGTACACCACCGCTAGCCGTGCCATGCTTTCTTGTGCTGTGTTAGATCTGCTATGGTCACTCGCTCTTTGCTTTTGTTCATCATTCGCCATGGATTCACTAAGTCTCACGTTTCATAGCTTTTAAACGGTCCCTTACTATGTTTTCTGGTCTACTTTATAATCGGGAGCAGTCGCTCGTTGCCTCAATTCTTTGATATTATATCTGTCTGTCCGTGCTACCTGCTGGGCTTTCATGTGGTCTGCACTTAGCAGTATTGCGTCCGCATTTGAAAAAAGAGAGACTTTACACGAAAACCATCGCCCATTGCGAGACATTATGGAATCTCCGCCCGACATTGCAGGTCTGGAGCGGGGTGTAGTGTCAAAACTTGATGTTACGAATTCTCCATGGATCTGATACATTGCGGGTGCATCCTACAAGGCAATCACAGCACTGGCAGTGCAATGACTGAGCTTCGAAGTCATTATGAGGCGATCTGCAGTTATTCGTACTTCCCGATCTCCTGGGATCAAAAGACGATGGTTTGTCACCAAAGAAGACGTCCTGAAGGTGACTTGCACTTGCACTGTGTTTTGAAGAAACTGCAAAGCTCGCCAAGAAACTAGACACAGGAGCGTGGAGATCTGCTACCTACACGATTTGTATATGGTACCACATACTCTAATTTCTCAAAGTTAATGTTCAACATATGCCAATAATTTTGAACGTCCGCGGCAAGTCCGTGTGTTTGGTGACTGACTCGGTGCCTGCAACTCAGCTTAGTAGTAGTAAATATGTATAGAATATTAGAGACTCGGACTGGGAAGAGCTGGGAAGAGAACTTTACCAGGAGTCCAGTTCTGCGTCTATGGGCGATCCTGAAGAGTTTCTTGGGAAAACCACTCTTTCTCTCGGACGCGGTGTACTGTGTAGGGATGTGGAATTTCAAATTTCAAGCGCATCCTGTCGTCATCGCCTGCAGACTGCAGTACCGTGCCTAATAACGACACTCGGAAGCCGCCGGCCCGCTTCGAGAAGGTTCGTGTTCTGGACGGAATGGAACCACTCCTTCCGTTCAACTCTACACGTCTGGTCCTGACTTTACGCGCTGCGAGTAAGTAGTCACTCGCGTTCAAATTTCGTAAATCGGGCCACGACATTCAAATCAAGGATTGGCAATACTAAGTATGGCTCATATGAAAGCACCCAGCTGGTCGAGCATGTTGGTTCCTATGACAAGCGCCGGTAGATGTGTTATGTCCCACAACATATTCGGCCGCCAGTGAGCTTTCAATGCATTACGCATTTCGTTAATCATAAGGTTGCTGATTTAAAGGGCTATTAGGTCTGCGCGCAGAATGTTTACCGTTCCTACAGACCTGCCGCCCGCCCCTTCAGGCGATCTCCCATTGTCAGGAATCCGGGTTCTTGAGCTTGGACAACTCATTGCTGGCCCCTTCTGTGGCCAATTGCTGGGGTAAGCTCTCAATTGCGCGGCTTGATATCATGTAGGACTGTAATAGACATTTTGGTGCAGAGATCATCAAGGTCGAACCACCTTCAACCGGAGACCCACTACGGGTATGGCGCGAACTTGACATTGACGGGACGAGCCCTTGGTTCCGAAGTCTTGCAAGGAACAAGAAGAGCGTTGCTATTGACCTGAGGAAACAGGAAGGAAGACAGTACGTTCAATATAAAGGTTCTGTTCTCTCGAGTTTCATGTCATATCACAGACTCGTAAAACGGTTAGCTGTCAAGAGCGACGTCATAATCGAAAACTTCAAGCCGGGAAGTGAGTCTTATGGTTCGCATATTCGTACCAATCTCATAAATGCACCATTAGCCCTGGAGAAATGGGGTCTTGGGCCACAGGAGTTACACATGGAGAATCCATCCCTGATCTTCACCCGTGTCAGCGGATATGGCCAAACAGGTCCATGGGCTTCGCGACCAGGATATGCGTCCGTATGTGAAGCTGAGTCAGGATTTCGCTTTATCAATGGACAGCCAGACCCGCATACCGGATTGCTTTCGGGACCTCCAACGAGACCCAATATCAGTCTTGGTGACTCTATCGCTGGATTACATGCAGCGTTCGGCACCGTAAGGGGCTAGTAATCCTACATATACGTACCTTGACATTTTCCAGGTGCTTGCGTTGTTGTCGAAGCAGAAAAAAGCTTCACGAGGGAAGCAAGTTGGTGAGACGGTGGATGTGAGCATCATGGAAAGGTAAACATCTACCCTGTTTTTGACGTCAACTGGACATTTTGCAGCATGTTGAACCTGATGGAAGGCATCGTTCCGGAGTATGACCGTAAAGGCAAAGTAAGAACTTACCGCGCCTTGTTTAATCATGATTCCTCATGTTCGTCCTAGGTCCGTGGGCCATCGGGTTCATCGGTGACGGGTATAGTACCCACTAACGCATACCCCTGCCTCCCATCACCATCAACACCCGCTTCGCCAACATACATAATCATCGGCGCAAATGGAGATACCCTCTACGCGCGACTTATGCGTGCCATTGGCCGTGAAGACCTCATAGGACCGTCGTACGCTCACAATCACCATCGCGTCGCACGGCAAGTGGAGATCGAAGAAGCAATTTCAGCGTGGACCAGCCAGAAGCACGTCGAAGAAGTCCTAATTGTTCTCGAGGGTGCTGGAGTACCTGTCGGACGTGTCGTCGGCGTGAAAGAGATTGTGGACGGCGAACAAGTAAAAGCGAGAGGAGCAGTGGAGGACGTGTGGGTTGGTAAAGAGGGAGAGGGTTGGAACGTAAAGATGCCTAGAGTGTTTCCTGTGCTTGAAGGCTGCGATGCGAAGACTAAGTGGGCAGGGCCTGATCTGGGCGCACATACAGATGAGGTCTTAGGGGAATTAGGGGTGAGCGTTGAAAATATTACCCGGCTGAGAGAAGAGGGCGTTATTGGATGAAGGAGTTACTTAGTCCAGCTACTATCCCTTACCATCTATTCGTGATGGACCGTCATTTCGTGAGTCACGCTTTTTCGCGGTGAATTTCGTGACATACCGTTACACCATGTGACAAGCCATCACGTTTCCATGCCCAAAAGTGTGACTCACGAAATAGAGGTTCATCACGAGTAGACCGTAACCGATAGCATCTTCTGCTGTATAATTATATCTCCTTCAATTTTCTGATCCTGTGGTATCGAAAGAATGTAAGCACACATCCGCCGGCTCGTTGTCGACCGTGCACTGTCCATCACGTCATCGATTTGCCGTGTATCTGATCATGTTGCGCCTTTGTCTCTATTTCGCGCGGGTGCGTGCACGTGTCATGGTTTGCTGCAGATTCGAACTGCTATTCCTCATCTGTCCACATATTTACAAACAGTAACACGGGGCCTGGAGTAACGTCCGTGCATGTCGTTGAAGGACATCAAATTTATTTGATGGATGCGCGAGCAGTGAGACTACAACCCATCGGACATCCCAGATGTCTGCGTGCCTTGGCTCACCAGCGTAAATCTGACAAACTGCGGGTAATCTCCCGACCGCAGGTAATCGCTTGTCGATTTGTATCCTAGACGCAGACGATAGTAAGTTGAATCATTAAGAAGCAACAACCATCTGGGCCGGGTGGTGTGCCAGATTGAGATGTAAGTAGAATTCTGGTTGTCCTTCTTCACCGTAAGTTCAGAGAGAGAATCCAACAACGGGTTCGTTCATACGGACCCTTTGAAATAAATGAGATGGACAGTCACTCGCTAGACAAACAACAGCTCGGAATGAAACGATGATCTCCGTGATGTGGGATTCACTTGAATACAGGCTCCCTCTAGTGTTGCGTTGCTTCTTGATCAGAGATGTGTTAATCTGTGATATAAATTTCATATTGGCTGTTAAACACTGTAAAAACACAACTCAAAGAAAACGGTACAAGGCATATCCGTTGGTCGAAAACGAACGCAAGGTTCAAGGACAAGAGTAGATTCTACTGCAAATTGTAAGTCTCTCCAGGGACCACATAAATCATCTGCAAGCTGTCCCTCTGTATGAAGGCCACTTGCGGCTCATCTCGCGCAAAGGTCCCAGATTCCCCTGGCATAATGACAAAGAATCGGCCGGGTTCGTTGTTAGTAGTCACGCGCACTACCATTGGGACATTGTCGCTTTTGTTGACAATGGTTATGTCCGCCATAGTGCCTGTTCGTGTGACCAGAATAGTTAATATACGTACTTAGTGGGCTTAAAACCTCTGAGCGTACCTTTGAGTATAGCAGAAAGATTTGAAACAAGATTTCAACGAACAGGTAAATATATCTGCTGAGGATGGGTTAGACGAGAAAAACCACGCTAGATCTCCGAGGGACTCACTCGGAGCAATTGAAGGAGCGATGAGCAGCTACCTTCAAGACGTCCGGTATTTATATGCACGAAAGACTTTCTTCTGAGCTCAGATTCAAAAATATTCCTGAAGAAACCGCCAAGCGACCAGCTCCTGAATCGCCTGATTTGTCATTGGATGCTTCAATCATGTAAGTTGTTCGTGCCTGCTGTCAAGTAACTGAATAGCAGACGTTATGGGCGAGAAAATGAATTAATTGATGGGCCTAGCGAAGCCAATCAATTAGATCCTCGTGGTCCGGGTGCGAAAAACAACGGGTGATACCATCATTTTCGCTGTCGCGTCGTAAGTGACATTCCCCACATGTGAAATCAAGGGGGATGACTGGTCACTGGTCTTACCGTATTACGCCGTTCTACTGATGAGACACTGTCATCGTAAGTAACATAATTTGGGCGAGTCCTGCGGACCTTTCGCGTCAAATGCAGCTCCGGTAATGCGGTCGGGTCCCGGTAGCATCCTGAATGGAAACCTGAAAGGGATTACGTCTCAAGTGCTGCCAGTACGGGCTGCATGAGCCAATGATCTACGAAAGCAAAAGAGGTCGTAGCGTCCAGTCAAGCGCCGGTCATCAATCAGCTGATAACAACTGGGGAAGCGAGGATTTTCGGACGAGCAATAATACGGTAGTAGACGTTGTGCAATGGCGGTAAGTATTAGTAATTACGAATCTGAGACATTGATTGCTAAGCTGACAGGAGGAGTTGTTAACAGTGACTACTTCAAGACTTGGCTCTGGCACTTGCCTGCACTTCCATTGCGCAGCATCAGATGACGCAACCCTCGGTTTCGGGTACCGAAGAATGTTTGTCATTAGGCTAATTAACAGAATCGGGTTTTTCTATCGGTCGGTTGATTTCTGATCGATCAAGTAACTGAACGTACCCCCCAAAGTTCAAACACTCCTCGCTGTCGAGGGATGCGGCGGTCTTACACTGTTCTGCGTGATGAAAGTGCCGGGGCCAGACTAGTACCAGGCTAGTCACTGATTTCTAGAAAAATCCTCACGGCAAACATTCCTCGGAAGCGAGATTCCATCTTTGTAAGCGAAATAGATTATAGCTCCTTAGAATGGTTGACCACGAGGTGGTGAGTACTTGAGTTACAATGGCAGTTCACCAGCTCTTGGACCATTACGTGCAGAATTCCAACGAGGATGGATTTAAGAAGGGAGGTAGCAAATGCGAAAGACGGGAACCGGGTGCTGATAGCAACTTTACTTGCCCGGGTGATGCGTTTTTGGAAGATTTTGGAGAAAAAAAAGCTGGGCCTAGTATGTGCAGAGCGCAGGGAGTTACACCATCGAGGAAGACGCAGAGATCATCCTTGCTGGAGTACATAATGGAGGTGTGGTGGCGAACCACCATCGCGTCCTGATACGAGGCGGGCTGGTGCTGTGAAGCAGCGTAAAAACGCACTAGTACAGTGCAGCGTCGCAGGGCCTCTAGCAAGACACGTGCTCAAAACTATCAGCCTCGACTGGAATGGCGGACAAGGTAGCGTAGTTCAAATCATTGTGGTGGGCCAGGCACCAGTGACCAAACCCATTCGGGCACTTGAAGATGATAATAACATGTATCCGCAGTCTTTCCCAATGGACGACGCGTATATACGGTGAGCTCGGTGCGGCTGGATATCAGAGTCTGTGTTCACTGTTCAAGCGCTATGTAAGGGCCAGGTTTCCCTTCCTTCCCGCTGCAGACTCTCTCACTTATAGTCCTACTTAGACTCGTTACCAGTCTGACTATACGTCAATTTGAGATGGTGAGATTTTTGACGTATCCAGTTGGGTGACATCAACGAAGAGGAGGTCGAGTTTGCGAGGTTTCATTGGGCTACATTCGCTCGGGATCTAGGAGTCGGAGATATCCAGCTGTCCCCTCCGACCTTCGAATCATTTTCATGCCTTCTCTTTAGTTTCCCGTCTCAAGCCTCTCATCGGGTCTATTCAAATCAGGTTTGCCATCCGAATTATCTCCTCATTCAGACTCCAACTCATGCTCGAGCTCGTCTCTCACCCCAGTCAACCTCGTCTTTCCAGCTATCAACGGTAACTACCAGTGCCAGTCCCTTCCTCCAGGCCTTAAAAAAGGACGACCAAGGGTTATACACCTCAATCACACCACCCAGCTCAGCATCTCGCGCTCGCCTTGATTCCACTCGATCTGCCTCTCGGTTGTCATCGTGGAGCTACTCCTGTGGCCAGCAAGAAATGCAAGACGGAGTACAGAACCCGCGCTTCCAATGCGCTATTTTTTCACTAGGAATCCTGGGGGGCAGCCGGCACACTCCGATGATCGCAATGACAGTAACCTCGTTTACTTCAAGGGGGTTGATAACACCCACCGGGTCCGGTACTTTGCCGACCTTGCTCTACAGACTATGCTGACCGGGTGTTCCGCCCTTGAGGATTCTCTTCGACACTCTGAATTCAATGCTAGTAATCATGATTGTTATAAATCATATCGGCTTTCTTCACGAGCAATATACAAGCCCATACTCGCCTCTTCGATAATGTACTGCACAACTGGGATCCTGAACCTGTTGCAGACACCATAGTTTATCTTACACTAAACTCCTCTAGAATCTATCCAGCATGCGAGGGGACTTATGTCCACGAGTTTACGCCGTGACTCGACAATGCTCTCTCAATACCACAAGAAGCCAGTGGGACATCCCACAACCTCTGCTCCAAGCTTCGCGATTTCTTGGAGTCCCTTGCCACCATCAACCCTCTCAAACACCTTCACTCCACCACCTTCTACACCGCCCACAACCAGATACTGATCTTTGTCACCTCCAAACGTCATCGCCCTGACATGGTTTAACCCCGTACGCACTTCGTTCACTAGTTCTGGCTGGCCCTCTCCGGCGGCGAGAGAGAATATGGCAATTGTGTCACCCTCTGGATTAGGGTCATTTCTATTGGATGCATAGATGAATGTTGCAGGGAAGGATGTATTAGGTTCGGGTAGTAGAATTTCCGCCGCGTACATGTTGTTCGGTATCGGTAACGGTGCAGAAAGCGTGGGCAGAGATGTGAGAGGAGTAGGGGATGCCGGGAGAGGAGGGAGGGTGTGAACAGCAAGCTTTGAGGTAAGCTCCAGCAACGTGTAAAGCGTAGTTCCTGTCGTAACGATCAATATGATTTCAGGAATAGAGGTGAATGACACACCTCGAGCTACAACATGTCGTGGGCCGCCCCCTGCTTCAATGTCAACATGACCACAAATTGCCCACTTGCCATCGCTTCGTTTGGTGAGTCTCCAGACCTTATCTGCACCCAGATCTGGGACAAGGAGCTCATTCTCCTCCTCGTTCAGTGGATTGAAGATGGTTTGATGGGGGTGGGATGACGATTGACGAGCTTTGTCTGTGCCCACATGTTCAAATGGCATCGAAAGCGTCCACGGGTTCGGTGAGAGTATGTAAGGGGCGGATGTTGAGATCGGAAGGGTCGCGATTGTGCCCGATGAGTACTACGTGCAGATGTGAGTGCAAGAAACAGAATAGATCCATTGCTTAGAGCTGGTGAAGTCGACATCGTGGGGACTCACATTTGCAATGATAAGCTCGTCCTCCATGACAAGAAGGCTGCAGGGATCCGTGCCACCACTCTTAGCCCTGGCCACTACTTCTCCTCCCTTAATAGTTTCACCACTTCCATACTTGATCGCGACGATCTCTCCATCTACCTGTTCGAGCCCGGTAAATATGAGAGAGTTATTGGATGGGTGAGATACGATCCATGACGGACGGTATCCAACAGGGGTCTGAGCGAGGAGATTAAGCGTCGGAGGTCCTGTCGATGGTGCTGGATCAAAGGACAGCGTGTAGATCGAGTCGGTGTATGAAGCGACAAGAATCGTCAGCGGTGCCATCACGGTCTCGTTGAATGCACGTAAAAATGTTGATCGTTGATAGAGGGGTTGAGCGTTGAAAGACTGTGGGATTTCGTTTGATTTCGTGTGCTTAAAACACGGCTACATCAATGTGATACGTCTTTTGCCGCCCGACCGGGGTGATGCTCGGAGGCCGACAATTCTCCAGGGGGAAATGGTGCTAGTCACGAGTGGTCGCGTCACCGGCCACCTATGTGGAACTGATCATAGGCGTCCGGGAGCACTTCTTTCGAAGCTGCTCTGTTATCTATAATCTGTAGGGAGACTACTAGGAGTCCGTCCTCAATTAAAAGCACATACCAATCTCTTTGAGGGTACTTAACTGCCAACACGAAAGGAGGTACGATGCACAGGAAGAATCCAGCTAGCCGTCTCCCTCATATTCTGCATCCTATACACTTCTTCATCCACTGCGCCATCTGGTGTAGAGGTAAGCTGTGATATATCTCGAAACTGCTTTTTGAGCGATCATCTGGTCGCGTACAAAGCACACGCTCAATCCACCTCCCGTCGACAACACGCCCCTTGGCGTGCTTTGCAGCGCCCAATTTGAGTCGTTTCCATTCAACATCAATTGACGTGAGAAGGTATGCGGCACGCAAGACGTGCACCTGATTCATTCTGGACTGGCAAGAACGGTCTCGTAATGCCTGGCAGAATGTATGCCGTGGGCTGCCAATTGTTCCTATTCCAGATAGGATATTGGAGTGTCGCCTGGCCTGTGTATGATCGTCATCGTCATCGTCAACTCACTATGGAACTGAGCCACTTGTGCAGCATGTCTGCGATACGCATGTCGACCTGGGAGATTTTGCTGAGGGAATCACTGAACCCTTACTTCGGGAAGGAATGGGTGCGCGAAGAAAAAGGGAGAAGGGAAACAGGATGGCTGCAGCGGCAGGAGGTGACTAGTCGCGTGTTTCTGGAGCACAGTTTTGCCTGGACGCAAGCGTGGTGCGACCTCAGTTTCATCCCGCATCAATCGGTTGATAAACCTCCTGTACGTGAGATATCAACTTGTACGTCACGCATGAAGCCTCTAGATAGTCGTTGCCGTCGCTGGTCTGAGAAATTATCCGGAAATGTGCTCATGCACCACAAAACTGAGTTAAAGTCAACTGGAAACTTTCTAACGATACCTACATGTGCAATAATAGCATAAGAATCGTGAAGTGATTTTAGTGATGCCTACGCCTGCTCCATTCTGGGGTTTATGATACGGCGGAGCAGGTACCTTAAAAGACCACCAGCGTATGCATCGTCTCTTGGAAAGAACTTTCCCGTTTTTATGGTGCACTCGCTCAGTTGCACCTCTGAGACGAATACTGTCACTGTTGTTCCGGTCACCTTCGTATCGACCAAGTCAACAATATTGACATGAGTGGCCTTAACCGCCTGGAATATATGGAAGGTCATTGTGCCGCGGATGGAGACTAGTTGAGCTTCTACCTCGCGGCATGATTTGAGGGTATCAGGAATCGGCGAAACGTGGACGAGCTGACATAAAGTGCGCCATGAGGCAAGATCATCCGCGTCTGTGCCGTAGATGTAGTTGAACTGCTGAACAAGGGCGTCCCCGAGGCTTTCTCTCTCTCTTTGTCCTCCCTATCCCAGTAAAACTCCAGTGAAGCTGACGCGGATGCGTCGTATTCGAACTTGGGATATCATCTTGCGAAAAAAATCGTCTAGAGGTGTCTGTGTATATGTCTAGGAGCGCTCATGCCCGGTGTTGCTCTAGATACACGATATCTTAGCATATATACGAAATTGAAGGCAACCCTATTGGCCTACATCAATGGTGAAATCGTCCCCTTCGACATGCGCAAACTTGCAATGGGAGGCGAATCGACAACTACCAGTCTGTGCATAACCGTAGCACACCCTAGGGGACAATGACATGTCGTAGTAACCAGTGCTACACATCGCACTCGTCCAGAATATAACCAGTGGGGACCTTTATATCACGGAGCGGTTGAACGCATTGTGTTGTTTCCTAGATCACGGTATCCTTGCGCCTCACTAGTCGATATGGAGTTGGGACGCCACATATAGCGGCAGACCCACAATTGACAAAAACTTCCCGTGCAAAGCCAGCTTCTAGACGTGAATGTGGGAGACAGGCGAGCCCACAGTAGGTGACACCGCATCAAGGAAAGCAGAAGAGCCGGGTAACGTGTGTAAGTAGTACAGCACATGTACCCAACGTCGACCAGATAACGGGATCACATCACGTCATGAGTAACAAGTGTTCACTGTTCGTAGCGGCAATCCGCATTTTCCTTGTTGCTGCGACTCCGCACCAGAATTTGTTCATGCCATTCACCCGAAAGTAAGGGATACGGAGAGCAGTCCAGGCTACATAGTGTCATTAAGCATGAGAAGAGAGCAAGGTGTTCTTGAAAACAACGTTCAATGCAAGCATCCATAAACAAAACCATCTAAACTTTTGTATGCAGAACAAATATGCCCAAACATCTTGCTCCAAACCCACCACATTGAACTGAAAATTCACATGCAACTTGTACCACACCGTAACGATTGCGCATGTGAGGTCGAGTTTATTTGGTCCGGGGAATTCCAGTGATACGGTCAAATCTGGCAGAACCAGGACGACTACCGTGATGTGCGTTTTCGAACATGTGCTCCTTAAATCGTTCTTCCGTGGCAGTACTACTCCCCAGTTGCCTGTAGTCAGAAGGAGAGCATAAGGCAAGCTCGGAGTCAAGGACCGCACCTGAGAACAGTCCATGTGCACTCTCGGAGCTTGAGGTATGCATACTCATCACCATTCGCCGTTATAGGCCACTAGCGTGACTTCATTGGTACTATTAAACTCAAATGTGTACGCTCTCTTTTAATTTTTGCAAGAACTCGCGAAAAGATTTGAAGCTCAAGTTCAACTGTAAGTGATCTTTCCAATGCTCTGATACCCCATAGTGCAATCGTCCGAGCTGATTTATTTTTGGAGCACAGAAATTACGCAAATCGAAGGTACGCACCCGTTTCGATAGACTATTATACTATCGGTTAGCACAGGGGCTCCCACTCCGCTTAGCCCGGGCCCGGGTCTTTGAAGCTTGGCGAACTTTGACTTCAGCCTATCCTTTCGGGCTGACGATAATTGTCCATGTTCAGTCTAGGAGCATATCGTTCTGGAAAAGCACCAGACTGAGTGGCGTTTTGTGGTATGGAGCACATGCTTCTGACCATTCCATATCGTTGCTGCGTTGGCTGTGGGTTGTCAAATATTTTCTTTATCTGGAGGTAAGAGGAACGGGGAACGTGATTAAATCAGCTATTGGCTTTCATTGCTATAAAGACCTTTCAGAGGTAAGACATGGGCCAGAAATTGCTTGCTCAACCACCGGTTGACCACTCCTCGCTTATCTCTCGAGTCTTTCTACATCATGCGTATCAACTATCTTTTTTTCGTTATCTTGACCCGCGCTGTGCACACGACATTGGGTGCGACGTATTACAGGACGAGCCAACTCGCAGGCCAGAGCTTCCTTGACGCGTTTAATTTCCAAGCCATCTCGGACCCTACCAACGGCAGAGTGTAAGACATTATCTGAATCGCATTACTTGAAGGCTGATTCAAGTCACTACCCCAGGACCTATGTCGACGAGAGTACCGCCCAAGCGGATGGACTCGTTTCAGTGGCTAATAACAAACTCACTCTCCGAGCAGACTATACTACGCGGCTGTCTTCTTCCGACCCAGGAAGAAAATCTTTTCGAATCCAGTCAAATTCCCAGTATACAACTCATGTGGCAATGTACGTCTAGGCGGACCCGTAGCATGGGTGCAAAGCCTAAGAAGAATCATACTAATCTTAATTCAGTTTCGACATTGCGCATATGCCACAAGGTTGTGGGACATGGCCGGCTGTTTGTGCGTGCAATCTCTTATGGTTGATTGGCTTGAATCTAACTACAAGTTAGGGTTAGTGCGACTCAACGTCTCAGTGTTTTCCCGCCTGACGAGTGCATCGCAATGCCATTAATTTGATAGGGTATGTCCCTTTGTAGGATGATTTCTTTCATTAATATTAATCACAGGAAGTCGGGGGAAACTGGCCTAATGAAGTATGTTCAGAGTATGTCGGTTTCTGTGATAACTCATGGTTACAGGGCGAAGTGGATATCGTAGAAGGTGTCAACGATCAAACGCCTAACAGATGCAGTCTACACACAAGTTCCGGTGAGATCATGTTTTGGGTCCTATAGAAGTACAAGCTACGGGTACTGAAATTAGTTTTCAGGTTGCACAATGCCCTCTTCTCGCTCAATGACGGGGTCAGGGCATTTGTCGAGTCTTCGTTATTTGGTGATATCTGACACAAATTGAATTTAGTACTGTCGATGGTACAGATTGCAGCGCATACGATAACTACAATGCAGGATGTGGGGTCGAGTTCAATGACAACCTGAGCTATGGCCCGAATTTTAACAACAACGGGGGTGGCTGGTATGTATGCCATCTCGGTCATTAGCTCCACCAGAATTACACAAAACCAGGTACGCGGTAGAACGGAGTTCAAGCTACATCAAAGTTTTCTTTTGGGAGAGGACGAGTGGTTCCGTTCCAAGCGACGTCAAGTCTCCCGGGTCAAGCATCAATACTAGCAATTGGGTACGCCCTTCCCGCAGCCCCTGACAACCCTAATCAATATATTTCTAAAGGGGACACCCGTCGCATATTTTCCCAGTACTGATTGCAACTTTTCTACTTACTTTGGAGCACACAACATCATAATCAACCTTACATTCTGTGTGTAGTCATCGTCGTTTTTGACCTTTAACGTGAACTGATAAACATGGCTTACCAGGTGGAGATTGGGCAGGTAGCAGCTCAGCTTACTCCGCGTCCGGTTGTCCGTCTACATGCGTCGGTGAGTATCAACTCCTCTAGTGAGCATCTCGAAAACCTCATCCTATTCTGTCAGACTACGTAAACAACAACCCGTCAGCATTCAGCAACGCTTATTTCGAGTTCAACTCGTTGAACATCTACCAGTGAGGCGAGCCTTTTGTATGAAATGCCGTGCTAGCAGTTACGAAGTATTAAATTGTATTAACATTGTATACCCAGAAATCAGGGGCTAAGTAAATGCTTACAAGCAGTTTTGATCTCTGGGTGTGATATGGAGATGAATCCTGCCTATGGCGAGCTGGCAATGATGCAACTTGTAGTGGTGAACGCATTAAGTCCGGCAACCTCGCGGCGTTGGTGTCCTGTAGACAGAAACGGCAAACGCATAACCTTGGCAGACCTTGGCTGCGGAGGTCTCGTCATATTTCACTTGGACTCATCTCACCAATATTAAATTTCTTATACTATGTCTCCCCAAAGATCACGTACATCGAGGTGGGATATGATGCTGTGTACATCGCTGCCAGGCTGGTCGTCATGCGTTGAAGTCACAAGAAAGACGAGACTCGGCACACGGAGTGTTTCTCTTGGCTTGTTAGCTTCTGGTTTCTTCCATTTGTAAAGCTAACCATATTGGATCCTTCACATCTAGAGCTGGATATGCGCAATGGACGGGGACATGCTCAGACACTGCTCTCCCCCGCAGGACGGCAAGGCCTACCTCAATTTACCTCGACAAGTGGTGATGGATAGGATCTATCATCTGACCCTACTAAGAAACAAAACCCCAGCGACTGCACCAGGACCTCCGGCACTCCTACAGAAGACCCGCGCCAGATCTATCCGGTATAGAGTCGATCGTTGTTCTTGGGTGTGTGCCCTCGAAACAAGGGTCCATTCCCCGGTCACTTGATCCTAGGACTATTCTTTATCAGAAGGACTACATAATTCTGGTTGCCTCACGGCATCCGTGCAGTCGCAGCACAGAAGGTGTATCCTCAATTGTTACGGCCACTCTTAACACGAGGTTTTCTGCAAATGGACACTGGCGCAATTCTGGTGTGCCTTAAATTCCTGTAGATCTAGAGGAACTTGTGCATGGTCGTGCGTGCCTATGCTGTATCAGTTCACCTATCGGCTACTCGATACAAGTTATGGTATGTTGCATTAGTACTGCCCCAAACCGCGATACTGATTTGATGACTTTCTCGGTAGAGAGAGAGAGAGAAATTCTATATTTATATACCGCAACAAACAAAGTGAGCTGTTAAGACGCGGTGCCCTGTTAGGGCTGTGCTGGGGAGTGTTGTAACAGGGTGAGGGATGTAGGTATAGTACGAATAGCCAAGCGGTCCGCGTTTGATGAGTTTTGGTGTGCGTGTGGCTTTCTCGGTAGAGAATCGTATGTAAGTATGTTATATATGCAAGTAATGTCATCCAATTACAAAATGCAGCAGGCCGTTATTCATGTATTCGGCTTCCGGGAAGAGTACTAACGTAATGTTCACCTTGACTTCACATGAACCCACAACTATTGAATGCCCTGTCTTCATCATTTGTGGGTCAGTTGCCATATCTAGCTGACGATAATCCTCTTCGCAGGGTTCTTCGTGGGCGCGTACGGGAATTCGAGTAAGCCACGAGGTGATTAATGAATGAATGCTCCGCTGTCGTGACTTACATAAGAGTCTGTTCGCGATGTGGCATAGCACAGGGGTTCTCCCATCTTCTGTGTCCCCATAAGCCCATCCCCCCACCAGTATTATGCCCTCTGATGCCAAAGAGGTAAGCTCCGACACATCTCCTATACTTGTTTTGAACACAAAATATTGATAGCGAAGAATGCGCGAACGCGCCAGTGCAAGGCGCACGCCTACTCCACCCGCCGCCGACGACATGCCCCTCGCCGCGTTTTTCGCTCAATTTCAATCCTTCTCATTCAATGCCAATCAGTCCTCAAACAAGAACTTCGATCGCCTGATCAAGGTCCTCAATTTTGGACCCAACGACCCGCAGAGGCGTGCGGCACGGGAGGGATTTAAAGACGCGCTCGTTCTGGAGTTCAATGAACGTTTCGGAACTGACGGGAACGATATTGCTGCCTGGCAGAATTTATGCTGTGTGCTACGAATCGTTCCTGTTCCAGATACGATCCAGGAGTGTCGCCAGGTTTGTGGATGATTATTGTGGCGAGTTACCGTGGCGCTGAGCTGGTTGTGCAGCGCGTTTGGGATACGCATGTCAACCTTGTAGACCTGGTTGATACAGCGAGGAATGGGACGCCTGTAGAGCTGTTTGCATCCCTGGGGGAACTGACTGCATATACTCTCCAGACGAAAAAATTCTTTCCGAAACACAATGCGTATGAAGGCGGGTTACTGAAGGAGTTGCTGAGAGAAATTATAAACACGTACCACGGGAAACGCAGGAATGGGAGCTCGAAGAGAAAAGAAAGGAAGAAGAAACAGAAGGCCGCAAAGGCGGCGGCAGGAGGTGACTGAACGTATTTAGTAGCCCAGACCAATGGCTGGGGCTGTCCTCCTTTTGAATTCGTTTCGCAACATTCGCTTTTTCTACTACGTTTTCTGTACATGCAGTATGACGATCCAGCGACTTGCAACACTTACCTTGTACATGGAACTTTTTCCGAGAACGTGTGCACGTTTAACATGGCCACATTACAGTCTCGAGTCCAACTCCACTGGAACTACTATGTAGTAGTACGGAGTAGTACTGCCAGAATCGTGTATTATGGCCTAAGCTACTATTAGAGGTGATGTGATGTGATAACTACGCCTGTACCGTCGTGTATAATCTGGTGTGCTCCGTCACTCTGCCTTGGTGCTGACCTGCAGCGAATCCCTTGTACTGTCAGGTACGTTTAGATTGTGTGACTTCCTCTCCCCAAACGTCCTCTCCAGCTGCTCAACCTTTTCAGAAAGTAAGTGCGCTTCATCATTGGCCTTGAAGGTTTCATTTATGGCATCGACAACGACCAAAGTATTGCGCCGGAGATCGTTTTCCAGGCGTGCGATGCGTACTCGAGCATCGAGAAGTAGGCTTTCTGGTGGATCCCTTAAAGTGCGTTCAGGAAGCTTCGAATCCGATGATGTACCAGGGCTAACCCGCGCATTCGCGAATGCTGGGAATAAATAAGAATCATATTCCGAGCACATCTACAGAACGCTCACCCTTCGAGAATACGTCTGGAAGGTCCTCCCTAGAAGTCTTCCTTAGATGCGAAGTGAACGCACTATGCCGGCGACCTGTGCATATTTATTGGGGTAAGAATGTGATTGGAAGATCGCATAAACAAACCTGGTTGTTTTCGCCTCGAAGGCCGGGAAGATCTCGGCGATACTTCCTCACCTGACTCTGGCGTGGATTCTATGCTCCGCTTCTTACGATGCCGGGTGGTACTGGACTCCGCTTGATCAGTGGGGAGAAGACGAGTACGAGGAACGGTCACTGTCCGACGAACGACTGCGACGTGAACTAGGGGTCTTCAGAAGTGGGCTACCATCCTTGCCTTCCACATTCGGCAGTTCCTCTTGATTGGTGGTGGGGGTAGATGGCCGCGACATTCCGCACGCATCAGTGAGGAGACCTTCTGAGATCTTGTGCCACCTCGATAATAACCAAACCATCATCTTCTGCGACGACACCTTCGCCGTCGTACCCAGGAATCCTAGGCCCAAAGATCCGCGCGATGTCCTCAAATTGTATGCCGTTCTCCGGACAAAGGGGAAGTTGAGTGAAAAATCCGCAGAGATAGATCAGTAGAGAGAGTTGGCCTATAGGCAGGAAGCGTAGAATTACTTGTGCGACCATGATCTGGTGACGTTCGATGTCACCGTCGTTCCCAAGATGAAGGTCATCATGATCCTTAGATTGCTTTTGATGCTGTTTGGCTGACATGGGAAGCAAGAGCGGCAGCTCGCCTCTAGCACGTTTCTCCTCTTCTTCCGCGTCCTGCTGACTTCGCCTTACATCTTCGCGCTTCACGCTGGGTTTAACGCACCAGTGCCAGAATCCGCTGTAAAGTCTAGGATCAAGGAGAGGCTGGGGGAGACCGGAGATGAATGTGGATAAGACTGCGCAAATGTCCGGCATAGTCTGTCCGTGCATGCTGAATTTTGCCCCATAATCGGCGCTGGAGTCGTAGATGTCGATTAACTGTATGTGTCGATCGCGGCTAGGTAACGTGCGGAACAACCCTTGTTGGTAGATACCTGATGGGCGTAAATGATGAATCGACTTGAGGAAGGAAAGAAGTTACCTGTTCTTGTCAGCTCTTCTACACAGGCAACGACAAGGGTCGGTATGTCGTGCTGATGTTCGCCCATAGTGATCATGGATGAGGCATGAATCAAGACGTCACGTAATGGCGCTCCTATGACGTCTGTCGTAATGTTAGCGTCAAGCGAAAACAGCATACGAACAGAACAGACGGAATTTTGGATCTCTCTTCTCAGCTTTACCTCTACGCTTTTCACGGAGCTTCTCTCGTAATTCTCCTTCCTCTCTGTACAACTCCAATACATCCTCATCAAAAGAGATGTGATCCATCGCACGATGTTTCTCACGTCGAACGAGCTTGTCGAGCCTAGGATACAGAATGTGCGGTTTCGGTCGAGGTGCTTGAGGTTTGCCCCGCTCTACCAGCATCTTCGGATCGCGCTGGCGTTGATCTTCTTCGATGCGCCTGCTGCCTCGTGGCAGGTGGTCGTACGAGGAAGAGATAGTGTTCTGATGTGACATATAATCCAGTTGAAGGCCGCACGCCCGAGCCTGCCTGTCCCTCTCTATTTCCGCGGACGATGGTCTTGGTATGCGCCTGATGTCTGGCATGCTCTGTTGCTGCTGGAAGGCATGCGGTGGCAAAGAACTACGTTTCTGATGGTCATCAAGATCGCGAGGTGTTCGTTGGTAATTAGCATGATGTGAAGCATTATATTGCTGGCGTTTATCATATCCACGAGGCATCCACGGAGCCTGACCACGACTATATGGGGTGGTGGGCGAACGGGGAGAGTCATTGTACGAGGAGTACAGTGAACTGGGGGTTTGATGCGGCGGATACATATCTACGCGAGGCACTGAGGGAAGAGCATGTGATGTTCGAGGAGGTTGCTGGAAGGAGGAGTCTGAAGGGTGATGAGTATGTAGAAGATTTGGTTTGCGCAGTATGCTGCGCGGACGCAGAGTGTCATTGGGTGGATGGGCGCCAGGCATTCTCGGGCTATCGTTGCCGTCATTCGGTCGGTCGCCCGAGTAAGACGGCGGATAATGAGCATACGAGGCAGATCGCATCCCGAGGCCAGTAGGAAGGAAATATAACCCTGGAAATATAATGCACCTATCAACACAAATGGACCTTACTACGAAGGGTCAACGTGGGTTGAGAAAGAGAAATTGACTTCCGGTGCCGTGCGAGGAAGACTCTTTTAAGCTAGCTTGGTCGGTCTGAGTCCGTCTCAGGTGGCTCTAAGTATTCAGACCGGTCGAGGCTGAGACGCCGCATGTATAATGTGGGGGCCTGTTAAGCTGGCTGCAGTATTTCATTTCAGACCGACTCTATGGTAGAAAGCGCCTATTCTAGAAATGGGAATTACACGGTGAGAGAACCGAGAGAGAAAGCTCACAGCATGTCTGGGTGGGACAATCAGGAATCTGTGATAAATCTTGAGAAAGAGGTGAGGGTTACGTGTCTGGTTGTACAAACAAAATCTGATAGTGTCCTGTACCTTGACCAACCGTGAGTCTCGAAAACTAGACCAGCCTAAAAGGTATTAGAGTTGAGTCAGGACCCTCAATGACCAATGAAAGAACATCTAGTCAGGTCCAGCCAGGTCCAGACTCCAGACCGCAGATAATCTCAGATGATCCCTCGCGGACTCACTGGACTCTGGCAAAGTTCCGCGAAGAATTATAAAGCTTCGGAGAGAATCCGAGCAAGCTCCATGGGACTGATAAGAACTAGAAGTGTGAGTGGCAGAATGTCTTCTCTGCATGAAACCGAATCCCTGGAAGACTTATTGCAGCTTACTAAATTCGAGTAGAAAGTCGACGGAAGTTCCTGACCAGGACCGCAGCATCCGAATCAGTGCGCCCACTCGGAGTTCCATGTAGTCCCGGTAATAGCCTGCCCGCGGGCAGTTCTACGTTCTAACCTGTGACCGCACTGCGCAGCTTCTCGTTCTACCTTATAATTATTCTCGCCACAGTGGCCCAGTACTGTTCTGCCAGTTGTCTATATGTATCAGCCCATTAGGCGGTCGAGTTTACTAAGCAGCGACGTGGCCCACGAGTTGGGCTTGCTTGAGTTTAGTAGCGAACGACACTCTTAATCATCCTATATCAGATGCATAATAAAACAATCTTCCTCTATTCGGAGTGCGGACCGCCAAGTTATTGGGATAGAGGCAAAATATTATAATGGTTAACGGTATGTGTAAGCCCGTATCCAAAATCGCATGTTCATATTCATTCCATCCCGATTCCCTTAGGCCTGCTCTGTCTGGTTTCATTTCGCATGCCATCCGAGTCTGTCAACGTCTTCCAGCCTCTTCCAGCTTGAACTTCAGGATCCCTTTGATGTCTGTTCATTCGCAATCATTGAATACCTCTCATAATGGTATGGTTGCACACTACTGCTTGCATCCAAAGATTCCAAACGATGTAAACAGTCTACGCGGAACCCATGCCGCCACTTCAACGTAGCGGATTTGAACTCGAAAAGACTCGGAGAGGCTTGCTTTCGATTCTCATTGAATACGACTCGGCGGGAATTTCATCCAGTTATGAACGCTGATGATTCGGAAATACAGTATAGCATGTAGGACATGGCAACTTCCAAGAGGCCGAAGAAGATGGAAACTCTCATATCCGAGCTGCGCTGGTCAGAACCTAGGTTTTGAAGTACGATCAATGGTCTGCTCATACTCAAATGTAGGCTATTTAACGTGAAAGTCTGACATGGTGGATTTGGCAGATGACTGGGAATGCCACATAGCGGATAAAGAGATGTCATAAGCAAAGTCACGGTGAGACATCACCCTCACGCTGTCATATTATCGTTCTAGTCACTGACCGATTTCCACAGTAGTATGCTCATTACAGGCCCTGTGGCGGATGTGCACAAATGATTTTTTACGTTCCGCGGGAATGCTACTGCGGAATGGACCACATCAACTAAACTCCGTCTTCGGCATTCAAACCAACGTCATTGTCGATCAACCACCATCGTTCCTGCATCCGCGACAGGGAAAACTATTCTCGCACCGACGAACACTGTTCTGCCGTTCTTGCGCCAGATGCTATTGGCTAAAATTTTAGGTCTGCCTGTAACGAAGAAGGCGGGTGAGCACAACATATCGCTACACCGAAGAATTCATCGAAGCGGGGAAGCGGGTGTCTGTTCGTGCATGCGCTGACCTCGTTTTCTTACCTCGGAGCCACGAGTTGCTCGGGCCAGGTCGGCACCACTGTTACAAATGCCCAGTGGTGGCGCGCTGCTTTGACTAGGTTTCGGGCCGACACTACGGAACTCTTCGGGGGTACTATGTATTCTATATTGTGACCCCTTGTGGCACTCGGAGTCGAAATTCACCGATTTCCGTGCGTTCGCGCCGATGAACCAATAAATCGGAAATGAACGAAAATACATTGGGATATAAAACTGATGTATCTACTCGCAAGAACCTTGATCCAATTCTGGAGGTACTAATCAGCTACTGAAGTACAGTCTACCTGACGCACATCCTTTATGCACCAGTTCTCTCGACGAGTGTATGATTCGTTCAAAAACTCCATCAGCCCTGCCCAGGGCTCCGAAAGGCTCCGAGCATGTGTTTCAGACCAATTCAATTTCGGACGTTAGACTTGGCATGATTTTTCCACGCTTTTGCCACGTGTGGCGCTGTGGCGTTTATATGTCAGTCCACGTCTGTTTGATGTTCGACAACATACTTGCTCAAAGTTCCTACATGCCGCATGATCATATAGGAAAATATCATGTCATGATTTTCGTAACCAGTACCAATGTGCCTTGACCGACCCCATCCCTAGCCCAAAGGGGCCTCGGATGACCGTCGAAAAATTTATCCTGCCTGGCTGCTTGGCAACTTGGCAAGCAGTCTCAGGGCCTAGTCTGTACCTACCGATCGATGGACGGAATATCAGCGAGTGCCAGCGGGTGCCAGCTTGTCTGACATCCTTCCCACGCTTGCGCCTTAAATGCAGCACCTGCAAGGACATACCTTGTCAGACACCTGTTGCCAACTTGCATCGATCATGATTTTCAAGTCCCTCGTCATCGTTGCTGCAGCAGCTCTGGCTGTCAACGCCCAAACATCGGCCACAACATCTCCTGCTGCAGTTCCAAGCGGTCTCACAGAATGCATCATTTCGTGCTCGGCCCAAGCAGCCTCCGCTGGAGGCTGTTCCAGCTAGTAAGTTGGCTAACTTTCAGATAGCACTTGAGCAATGTGAATCTTACGTCTTCGATTTTAGCACCGACCTTGCTTGTGTTTGTACCTCGACTGCATTCCAGGATGCTGCTGCCGCGTGCTTGCAGGCTAACTGCACTACTGCCGAGATCGCTGCGGCCGACCAGGCCCAGATATCTGAGTGTTCATCGCGTACGTCATTTCTCTTCCAAATGTGTGCTGGAGCTGATGAAACTAGTTTCCGGGAATGCGACGACTTCGTCCGCAACGCCGAGCGCCACGTCGCCCACGACATCTGCCACGTCATCTACCACGTCGTCTGCTTCGTCTACCAAAACATCTGGAGCTGCCACATCTGGTGCTGCCGCGGGTCTCGTACCTTCATTTGCTCTCAACAGTCCATTTGGCGGGCTCGTTGCCCTTGCTGGTGCCCTTAGTGGGAGCAGCGTTCGTCCTTTGATTCCATTAGTAAATGGCACAACTATGGAATGACGTGGCATTGACTCGACCTCGATATCTCTTCTTATTTTCACTCCGGTCGCGGACATTTGCTTATGATTTTTTAAAGTCTTGAGCAAGGGCGTTGACAAGGACTTATTGGATTATTGAATGTGTACCTTTATTATTTGACATTACTCTTGAGGCCCTGAGGTACCATTCAAACCAAATGCAACATATAATAATTAGATATCTTATCCTTGGCCAGCCTGCCACCAGCATCCTCGATTTGACTTATCGGTAAATATCGTGGGTGTACTAAGAATGTAAATAACCCTCAAAGCCGTGTGAGCCTGTGAGGTGGAGCTGGGCACCAAGTTCAAGCTATGCACTGCGCCATGACTTGGCCCGAAATGCTGATTGCCTTGCGGTTTAGGTCGTGCAGTGCTGATTATTAGAACCTGGTCACCGCGAGTGCAATGTGCATACACACGAAGGGGAACGTGGTCGATGGTCACGGTTCCATTTTGATCACCCGCTTCAACTATTAGCGCCCAAAACTCTTCGTACTAGACCTCGCTCCTGAGCCGCATGCACTGTTCACTCATTTTCGTCTGTCTGCTTGTCTCTGGTTTCTGTGTGGCCCAGAATTACACCCTTCCTCAATGTGCGGAGGTCTGTGCGGGGACGGCTGCGACGGCTGCTGGTTGCTATTCATAGTGAGTTTTTCAACCATTATACAATGCCAAGGTCACCAAGGAAAATTCGATTGTATAGCTCGAACGCCACATGTGTGTGTGCCTCCGAGCCGTTTCAGTCAGCCTATTCAGACATGCTTCAATACAAATTGTAATACAACAACGCAAGGGAGTGCCTGGCAGTATTACAGCAACTTATGCACTGGTGGTGGGTCCTTGTGTTGAGTTAAAAATCTGAGCGTTTCTTCTTATACAAGCCTCAGGCCCCTCAGTTGATTGGTTCTGGCGCAGCCAAGTCTACCTCAGGTATGATCAGCAGTCATACGGTAACGGAGAATTTCTGAATGTTGACGGTCACGAGCAGGCAAGACTACAACCATCAAAAGCACTTCACCGGAACCTGTATCTACAACCTCGCATACATCTACAACCTCGCATGCATCGTCAGCCCCAACGTCCTCAGTGTCATCAAGCGCGTCGACGAATATTTCAAATACTACAACTTCTGCAAGCCAAACGCCAACGTCAAAATCTGGAGCACTTGGGACTGATGTCATGATGAAGCTACGTGGCATCATGATCATGGCGGTTGTTGCCGGTGGAGTTCTCATCCTGTGATGATATCATATATTGCTCCGCGGGATTATTTGTATTGAATTCTGGAGAACGTTAAGTAGTGGGGGAAGATGTTGAGTTGGACACGGGGGACGGATATATAAGTATATAAACCGTTGGAAGACCGCGGCAAGCCTAATTCTTGGACTTTTTTAATACAAGCCTGATGCATCCTAATACATAGTAAGAGCTGAGGGGATAAATTAAAAGAGTAAAGAGCCGGCGGGAACTGAGTCTGTAAATGGATAAGTAGAATAAGTATGTAATAATTCAGTCCACTGCAAGTCCACTGAGTTATTTTTGTGGTCACCCAACACTCTATGTCAACCTTCAAGGTATCCGTCGGGATCGAAGAAAGTTTACACATGAGCCGGGCATGGGGTTTCAGATAGTCCGGTTAGACCCGACCCGGTGTAGAAAGCCAAGAAGGCAAGGGATGACATTGACAAGGAAGTGCGACACATCGTACGTATGTCAGAGTCCTGAAGGGACCTAGCAGCCGATGTAGTCCCTAATATATCGTCAGTCTCTTTGTTCAACGTATTAATCATCCCTGGCACAACGAATTAATAGAGGTTACGTAGAGGTCGGTGCAGTTTGGCAGTGCTTAACCACGAGTCTGATTTGGAACAAGGGGATGGTCACAGTTGAAAGCGCTGGCATTTAGTTAACCATACAGATAGATCATGTGGTCCGAGTCACGCAGTTACAGCCGACCTGATAGATGATAATATCATGATCCATGAAACTAAAGCAGTACTAGTTGGTTAGCATGTCAAAGATTCTTATGATTGATTAAGAACGCAATGTGAATGTCACACGTTATATGTGACATGTGACATCACAGTCACCACAAACAAAGCCGCCCGCCCGCGGGTAGCCAAGCTCCTTCCAAGTTCTCAACTTGTTCCTCCCTGAAAGCAATCGACCCACTACGTCTCAGGAGAAGATCCCCTTTACCTTGGACGGCGTGTTCTTCAATATCATCATAATCAACTGTTAATACCTCGCCGTACACGCTGGCCAGATCACATCCCTCTCCCCGACTGTTTTTCTCTTAGAACCCCGTCCGACTCTTCCTTCGTCATGGGCAACTGCGTCTCAGCACAGGGCAGAGAAGAGAAGGCGCACTCAGACGCTATCGACCGTCAAATAGAAGAGGACTCTAGAAAGTTTAGGAAGGAGTGCAAGATACTTCTACTAGGTATGTATCTTCTTTCCCTATGTACATTTCATTCTTCCTTTGTAATCGAGACATGCATCTCCGGCCGGAGTTACATTTAATCTCTCTACTCCCTTTATCCGTTTCCTTTGTTTCAACTCCCCCTCTCTTTGTTCTTACTCCTCATATCTAACCTCAGGGTCCGGCGAATCGGGAAAGTCGACAATTGTCAAACAGATGAAAATCATTCATCAAAATGGCTTCACGAAGAACGAACTCATGACTTTCCGCCCAACGATATATCGCAACACACTCGACTCAGCGCAGGCCATTGTCCTGCAGATGCGCAATATGAACGTGGAATGTGTAACGCCTGCTAACCGGGTACGTTCTTTCTACGTCCCTCCCATATCAACTCATCGCCTTTCACAGCAATTCGCCGAACGTATAATTGAATACAGGGTTGAAAACAATCCCACTTTTGTTTTCTCGGAAGATATCGCACAAGCCATCCACGAATTATGGCAGGATCCCATAATTCCCAAGGTAATGGATTGTTCGAGCGAGTTCTATCTTATGGACTCGGCAGGCTAGTGCGTAATTATATCCCACTTTAATTGTAAATGCTCACGGTTTCCGTTCGCAGTTTCTTTACGGAAGTGCTCCGGATAGGCACTCCCGACTATACGCCGACGGAGAATGATGTGCTGCGAGCTCGAGCGAAGACAACCGGCATCACGGAGACACGATTTAACATGGGACAGCTTTCGTGAGTGCACCGGCATGTCAAAATTCTGTTTTTGATCGGGGTCTTCCAGTATTCACATGTTCGACGTCGGCGGCCAGCGTTCAGAACGCAAGAAGTGGATACATTGTTTCGAATCTGTCACTAGCATCATCTTCTGCACCGCGTTGTCCGAGTACGACCAAGTGCTATTAGAAGAGAAAAGCCAGGTAGGTCATGTGTACGAGGAGATCGGTTATGACTAATTTTATCAATAGAATCGCATGGCTGAATCATTAATCCTATTCGAGTCTGTCATCAACTCCCGCTGGTTTTTGCGGACTTCCATCATCTTATTCTTGAACAAGATTGACGTGTTCAAGAACAAACTTCCGAAGGTATGCAATCATTGTTGCGAGTGCGTGCAGATTCACCGATGCTTTGCAGGTACCAATCGAGAAATACTTCCCAGAATATACGGGTGGCGCAGATATCAACAAGGCGGCAAAATATATCCTATGGAAGTTCATGCAAGCCAACAGAGCGCGTTTGAGCGTATATCCCCAGTAAGCGTGATTTATTATGCTTGGTTCATCACTCACCCCTTGTAGCCTGACACAAGCTACCGATACAACAAATATCCGTCTCGTTTTCGCTGCAGTCAAAGAGACAATTCTACAGAACGCCCTCAAAGATTCGGGTATACTGTGACTTCTTCCTTCCCCGGTTTCTTGGTCCTATCTATCCGTATGCGCCTCCATATCCCCGTGGTTAATGTGTATTAACGAGGGAGCAGCTCGCATATATATCTGGAACGCCTGGTTATTCCCTAGCATGTTATCATCCTATCTAGCATACCATCAATTATTCATCATTACCTGGCTGTCCCGAGAATGATTTGCATCATGCACCTTTTCGCCTATCTGTTACATACCGCACAGCGTTTGTTTTTACCTTGTAGCGGTTGCCCTCGCTTGCCTGCGATTCTGTACACTGGCGTGCTCGAGAGCATCGCGGTACGAGAAAGCATCTTCTGTACATCTATTCTGTAGTGTGCGATACTACGATCATGCCGGGCAAATTTACAAGGCAGAATTATAGCATGATCACCTGATTAATACAAGGGGACACAACTTGTGGAGAGCATCTGCTCCACTCCACAGTACAACGCATCCCGTGCGCTAACTATCGCTATCCCGCTCATCCTCACTGTCCCACTGGTTAAATCCTAAATCTCTCACACTCCCGATCGCCACAAGAAGTGGATGCTGACCATCCGTCATCTTGAGTAACTTCTCCATATCCTCCAACGCAAACTCTTCCACCTCTTCTAACAGTGCAATCTCTTCGCGATCGTCCTCTGGAGACTCCGCACGCCGCTTACGTTTGTCTGCGAGCGTCTGGAGTTGATGTTTCGTGGCTTCTATGAGGGCAGCTTGTAAATCTGGCGTGAGCGCTGGAATGCCGACGACGCGGAGCCCATCGGCTAGGGCTCTATACAATGATGAGAGGAACGAAGGGTCTGTTTCGGCCCGAATACTGCGGATGAGCTGGAGGAAGGAAGCAGCGACCATCTGTGATGTCAGCGTTCCGCTCTGCTTCCCGCAAGCGAAAAGCAAAGGAATCAGTCTATGCACATGGTTATTAGCAGTAACAGTAACGACGCTGAGGAGCACCCACCTACTCGCAGCTTCGCGAACGCCGTCATGGAAGTAGAATTTTAAGGCGGGAAGGGAGAGCTCCAAGCTCTGGGTGAGATACGGAGCGAACCGACCTCCGAGTGTCGCGCAATAGACAACGAGCGTGTCAAATGCTTGACACTTTTCGTCGATAGTTGAAGTACGGATACCGACGATCTGACCGTCCATCGAGATAGTCTCCCAACCTTCTCGAGTCTCGCCGATATCGTCGTCGTCACCTGTGTGGCAAGGTAAAAGTTATCGTGACCCGAAGGACTGAGCTTACTGTAGATAGAAACGTCAGCTTTTGCGCTAGCTGCGTTCAGTAGTGGAGGCATGACCACCGGAAGGAAAGGCTCGAATTCTGTGCCAAGAGCTTGGCAAATTTTGGCCCAAGTAGCGATCAAAAAGTTGGGCAGCATGGTGTCGGAGGGGTCGACAGGGGAATCTACGATACATGATGAGCGATTGCCGAGATTCGATTCGGGAACAGTCAGGGACGAACTTTGTATTTTAATTAAAAGCTCGATGAGCGTATTGGCGTCGGCGCGGAAAACGTTACGTCCAACGGCAATCGCTGACAAGGATCAGTCAAGGAAACGTGCGCCAATAGCCCTATCTTACCTATCAAACCAGCACATTCCATGGCTTTGGCGCGCAATTTGAAATGGTCGGAGGTGTTAGCGTTCCGGAGGACATTCAAAAGGAGAGGCATTATCGAAGCATAGTGCTAATATATGTGTAACCGTCAGATCAGCAAGCAACGCGTGAGACTACACAATAATACCTTAGCAAACGTTGTCTCGCTAGCGTCAGCAACCATAGCGAGAGTCGTAATGGCTTGTTCTTGAACGTAGCCTTTGACTACTTTGCCGTCCTCAGCTCCCGGATTGAGCATCTTGAGCAGACGCTCAACGATCGGATCCAAATATGGAACAAGGGTATTGCACTCGACACCTTCACAGAAATTAATCAGGGCTGCAGCGGCATGCGAGTGCACACTAAGTCGATCCGTCGGAGGATTAGTCAGAGAACAAGTGAGGGAGTTTAGACAGGCAATAGTTACCGAGGTTCTGGTGCTTCTAGTGTTGGTATTAGTGCGGCGAATAATTGCTCGTGGTAGCGATCTTGAATGATTTCCTTGCAGCGCAAGCGTCGGTAAGGAGCTCGATGACAAGCATACTCAACTTACCTCCAGATCAGTACACAGTTGACCGCTACATACATAATTCAGCGAGGACATCAATCAATCAAAAAAATAACATACACGCATTGACATGCAGCATACCGCACCCGTGGATGTGCGTCCTTGAACATTGGGGTAACAAGACTGCGAATACAGTCAATAGTGGACGGACAATGAACGGGAGAAAATGCATACTCCACGACCTTCCCAAGTTCCATTTGCATCACCTAATAGACGAATGAGTGGGCCTAAACCACGTCATAAACCAACATGACATATAAACCTTGCTCGTGCCTTCCGCTATGGCTGCGATAGCCATCAAGCCGGCGTGTCTCAGTCTCCAGTCGTAGTTGGCAAGCATTGACGGAATGTATTGGAATGCTGGAGGAAGCACTGCTTTGCCTCCAAGCGCGCAGGCGACTCTGTCGAGGGATTGCTCATATACATGAGGGTAACTCTCATCCTGTGCGTCCTCTGAGGGCTAAGGATGATTGAGTTGGCGTAAAACTTGAGCTATGGGCAACAAAAATCTTACATCAGCATCGAGCCAGGCCTCCAACGTGTCTTCTGGCAACTCCCCCATACCCTCCAAGGACGCTCTCACCATGGCTGCCGTCCATCCTTCCGAACGCTTCGCCAATGCGGGCTTAGCCTCGGTAAGGCTTACCATAAATTCTAGTGCAGCTTTCCTGACCAGCTCTTTCTCCTCATCTTCTGTGACTTCGTCGCCGTTTTCAGGAGTTCGACTACCGGACCCGCCGGGAGGGAACGTGAAGCTCGATGTCGTGCCAGGGAATGGCTTAGCAACCGTAGGTGTCGGGCCCGAGTCGACGCTTGGCATTATCAGGCCACGTAAGAAAGATAGCAGCGCGTTCATATGAGGCGCAAAGAGATTTGGGTGAGACGAGCATAATGGTGTTAACGAGCTGAGGAAAGATTTAAGGTGAGTATTTGGGAGGGAAGGTAATGTGTCTAGCATTGGGTAGAGTAGCGAGAGCGACTGTGATAATTGATGTTGATCACTTGCAGTGAGGTAGGATACAGAGGCTCTGAGAGCAGCAAGCCGGACCTGAGCAGCATTCGTCAATGTCAGCCAATTTAACTAGAGGAGTGAGCACGTACCTCGACACTTTGAGAGTCTTGGAGACCTTTTCGGAAAACCGTCAGAACGGCATCCGTCTGGAGATCCATTACGAGATTGGGGCAACCAGAAAATAACCTATAGGCGCACTCTCGGAAACCAGTTTCACCTGTCTGTGTCATGGTGAATGTCTGTGCCTGAAGCGCGTGCCACGGACGCCCCCGAGTCATGGAATTGTTTGCGAGATCGCAAACTGTGTCGACTGTTTTCCGGCGAACAGCGTCCAATGGTTCATGAGACAGAGAGTGAAGTAGCAGACGCTCGAGCGTTGTCAATGCATGCGCTGGGAGCTGGTCGTAAAGCGTTAGACGTCCTTCTCTGTTTTGCTGGCCTGGTGCAGCACGAAAGAGAAGTCTACGCAGTAAGACAAGGGAGAAGGATCGCATCTACACTTCATTGAGTGAGGGCAGCGGTATTGAAACATAATACATATCAACTTGCCACTTCAGTATCAGCCGCAACAGAGAACTGCGCCAATGCGAGCAGGTATAATTCTGGTGTCTGAGCCAGTCGATCATTAACCGCCTGTTCTGCACTGCGGGTCTTTCAGTATTAGCCCCGCCTACTATTGAAAAGATCGCGCACTTGGAGCGTATCTTATTATCTCCCAGCACGAGATTGGCAAGAATTTGGGTGAGTTCTGTCGTGATTTCGTGAGGAACGACAGCCTCCATGGCGAGTATGTGGGTAATTTGATATCAAGCTTTCAGGTTGCGGGTCCAGGAGTGACAATGAGACGGGAATTCCGCTTAGCGTGGCAGGCTGTTCAAACAAGCGATTCAACTTATTTGATGCTTGTTCACTGCCAGTGATCTGCAATGAAGATGCCTCTGATCAGTATAAGACGAAGTCTTCAATTATCGCAAGTTCAAGCTCAGCGGCTTTTTTACTATCCTCATGATCTGCTACTGACTTTCTCGAACACGCACTGATCTTATTATGACGACTTGTCGAAAAAATATAAGCCTCTATCAAAATACAACCCTCCATCAAGCCTGCATCTACAACCCTTACTTCTTTATATCCGCAATCACTTGGACGCCAATCATCTCAAACACCGGACCAGGTTCACCTGATCTGAGAGATCTCAATGCAGAGTTGATGGGCGTACGCCATCATCCAGTGGCGCATTTTCCAGGGATATCAATTCACATGTTCAAGTTTGGTGCAGGGACAAGCGATAACCTGCTCTCCGAATCTTACTCAGGGCGAGAACTTGAATGGTGCCGCTGTGCTCTCCCGATCGAAATGCCATACTGATCGGGAGTGGATTGTGGACCACCAGCTTCTGGTCATTGCGACACTGATTACGACTTTCAAATGAGCACAGCACAGAGCGCACTCGAATTGTTGACGATGTCAAGACGTCCTCAACCTTTGCTTCACACGACCAGGTGGCTGGTTAGCTGACCAGGAGTCCATTAAGGTCGGCATGCGATTGTGACAAATTTACGAGTGAGAACCCAATTGCAATTTCCTCTATTCAATTGACGAGACGAGCATTTGGTAGCCTCTCCCTGAGAAGCAGTCATATATCCAAAGGAATCACCATCACCCCATATTCAGCTAGTTGCTCGCCTTCCCGCGAGTGAAGCTTATTAGGCAGTCTGTATCAACACCGGTTTTCAATCAGGAGCAATACGTATATTGCGTAACTCGATGAACTAGCTTATCGGGATAGCCTTGTTTCTGATCAGCTCTACGCCCTCTGCAGTGCCTACGTAGACCTGGAAGAACCCAGTCGAATTCGCCCGCGGAATGCGAGTTCATCGAGCTTATGTTTAATCGAATTGGAAAGTTTGCTAACCGGGACGCACCCGGATGCATGCTGAGGTAGAGCGGCTTGGGTCGGAGAATGGTGGACATAGCCATGGTTTTAAACGGCATCTCGTTGATGTGTGCATCGGCGGTGAATTTGACAGGCATCTTCCCGAAGATGAGGAAAGCTGTGTTTGCTGAGCTGCCGTGAATCATGAAGGCAAGAATGATGGATGCGCTCATGCGGACCAACATTAATCCACGATTTTATGGATGCTATGTCGTTAATGTCTCCACTAGGGACTGTCATCAACGTCCCAACAGGATATTTTCCTTCAGGTTCTACCACAGTACCGGTCGCTCTGGTTCTACTAGAACAACATGACTAACCCCTAGTAGTTCTACCCACAACACGCACATTTATTTCATGTTTGAAGCATAGATCCACAAAAACGTGCAACTTAAACTGTGATTTAAGCTCTATCAGCTCTACTAAAGTTTCCCCTCCGTCGGGGACTGTGTAGGGCTCGACTTGCCCTCTTCAACTCTCGGTTCTACCAAATCACTGGCCTTCGTTCTTCGCCAAAGGACTTTCTTCATCCTTCTTGTCACTGACATTGAGCAGTCTGCTCCAAATCCTTCGTAATCTTCTCCAACTCTTCCTCCACCGTCTGCCTCCGGCTCCTGGCTCTTGCTCCCCATCTTCCAAGCTGTCCTTCGTCTTCTCCCAGGCGGCATCAAGCTCCTCCTCCCACCCAAGTTCTCTACATAGCTCCCGTACAACCTCATCACACTTTCCGAGAAGCAACACATCGTCTGGCTTATTGAAGTGGCCTACCTCATCGAGATTAATCAGCACCCGGGGGCAGTCGTTTGGCACACGGTCCACGAGAGAGGCAAATGGGTGCACAGTCAGCGATGTTCCCAACACAATCAATAGATCCGCTTCTCGCAGATTGCGGATAGACCTGTGGAACTCATCGGGAAGCTACTCTGACCCATCAGTCACGCAGTATGATCGTATGAGGCTGTAACATACCCCTTCCCCGAAAAAGACAATGTCTGGTTTCACCAGGCCCCGACACCGTTTCTGTTCACACTTCGGAATCTCTATCTCCTCGCTCAGCACCGCCTTCTTTATCTTCTCAGCGTCATAGGGCGTCTGGCATTCAATGCACCGCTGAGTAGCGAAGCTCCCATGTGCCTCGATGATCTTATCCGCCGGTACTCCTGCGCGCCGCTCGAGTGTGTCTATGTTCTGAGTGAAACAGGTATGCAAGAGGGAATGCGATTGGAGGAGTGTTATGAAGCTGTGCGTGGGTGTGGGCCGGAAGCGCCCCGGGTAAAGCTCCTTGGCTAGGGTATAGACTATCAAACGGGTTAACGCGTTTATTCAATTGAACTAAATACGAACGGACGCACAAGGTACTGGATTTCTTCTAAAGAACTCTATCTCGAATACCGCCTCCGGAAAGGGGAGATTCAGTCCGTGCAAGGTTGGCCTGTGCCATATTAGCGTTCCCCACTTGCGGTGCCGCACTGCACAAAGCACACTCACGTATAATCCTAGGACATACGTTCCTATGTGTATCTCAGAACAGGACGTATACGAGTGACTTACCTGTACCAGGGGATCTGAAGTCGGGTATACCGGCGGATGTACTCACGCCTGGTGCCACGATACATGAGAAGACTATAATTTGACAATAACGGTAGGAGCCTCACCAGCTCCAAGCTAGTTTCGTCATAGCGTCGGCATCAAAATGAATCACACCAGATATGAACTCACCATAAGGAAGACCTTCTGGCACTTATCTGACTTCATATATTTCGCAAGCCCCTTGAGATCATTGCCGTCTAAGATCCGTGGGCTCTTATCTGAACCGGGCTTGGCCATGCTGCGCCTGTAAGTACGCTTCCACCAGTCATACAGTGAGTCCATCTTTGCGGTGAAAAGATAATTACCTGGTGCTCAGTGAAGGAGATGGGAAGAAGAAAGGAAGAAGACAAAGGACGCTGGTGCCTCAAGGAAGTGATCGCACTGGATTCCTAACTCCAGGCCGCACGTGGCTAGATAAAAATGGCCTCAAAGGCCAATATTGTTATAATGGTCATGCTAATACAAATTGCGACGATGCTACAACAATGATAAGATCGACTGGGTGAAGAAATCATAATGGGGAATAGCTATTCCTAAAAAAATTCATGACAAGCAAGAGGAGATCATCAGCTGTCCCATTCGGGATCATCCTCCTGTCTCCCCGGGTTTTCCGCCCACTCATCCACTTCCTCTTCGTCCTGTGCCGAAGTCATCAATCTCCCAAAAAAAAAAGATCAGATGTGACAACATACCCCATATGAATAGTCCTCGTCACCGTCCTCATCTAGGGGATCCCATGGCACATGCACGTCTACCCAGCTAGAAAGAGGGGGATGTCAGATGGAGGCACAAGGACAACGAATATGATGATACTGACAAGTCATCGCCCTCAGGATCAGGTATCGGAGAGTCTCGCATGAGACGCCGGATCAATGGTAACTTGCGTTTGAGCCCATACAGCGGTGTGAACATATAATCCTTGTGTTGCCCCTTCCGCAGCATACTCGCATTCGTATCCGACCACCACTGTTGGGGTTCAGCTGGATTCTCGTTGGGAGTAAGTGCCAAGGAAATCTTCTCTCCACCTGACCATTATAATGAGGAGTACGAGAACACAGAGTATGCAAACATACTTTTGTCGGAAAGGTATATGGTGTAGGCAGGACATTTGAAGATGGAGATGACGATGTGCATGTCCCTGAGCTCTGGGACCTTGTACAGCGTCTCTAAAACCCTGCCGCGCGGAACATATTCCTGCCTCGGATTGTGCATGATCAACAGAGCACCGCGCTTGCCCCTCTGAAACTGCCACTCTCCTTTGATAGATGCTTGGGCAAGACCAGGGACATTTCTGCCACGTCAAATCATCAATCAGTCTGCTAGGTTTCCTTGCACAAACTGCAGCAGAAAACGCACAGTTCTCCATCAGTCCTGAGATCGTTCCGCCGCACACCCATCGTACACACTATGAAGTCCTCTTCCACAGCACCAGTCTGAGCAGGATAATTTGCTAGCTTCAGCTTCCCGTCCACCTTATCCAGCATCATCTGGAACTCCGGATCATAGATGTTGCCCTCGACGTCCAGTTCGCCCGTTTCGGTATTCAGCTTGCCATATGCGCCGACCTGCGAGCGAGATCATAAATCACAGCCAAAGACCGACGAGAAGCAAATCGCATACTTGTACGGGTATAGGTGGATCCCAGTTAGCCCACTTTGCAGTGGACTGTCTGATGAGATCAATGAACTTGCGACCTGCGTTTGGTGGCATTAATATAATGCAATGAGCAGTCGAGTAAAGAAAGAGCGCTGGCTACTCAAGCAGAGCCATGAGGCGCAGGTCGGATTTAGACTTATCAAATATGATCATATGAATAAATGATGGGATTTGAATCTCACAGCCTTGCTGTGCACTGGGAAGATTATGACACGAACAAAACTGGGTATCACATATCCTTCAGCAACGGTAATACTTGCATCAAACTGATATTATACATGTCATACAACGTCGTCAACTTGATATAAGAAAAAGAAAATAACATAATCAGTCATCAGGCCCTAGGCATCGTCCTCCGGCGCTGGAGAGGCCACAGGAGTTAAAGAGTATCTCGGGTTGTAGGTGGAGTCAGTGTCCTTGGCACAATGTAAGTCTCCGATGTCTGTTGCAAGAAAGTAAAGTACACACATCATACACCGGATCGATTTCTCCATCGTCATCGAGTGGCTCCCAAGATGGGTAAACATCCATCCAGCTTTTGCCCGATCAGTAGTGCGGTCGAGAGATGTAACGAAGAGACCTACAAGGCGGCATCCTCAGGGTCTGGAATAGGTGAGTCGCGCATGAGGCGACGAACCAGGGGAATCTTGCGCTTGCAAGTGAAAAGCGGCGTGAATGCGTAGTCTGTATCCGTTTTGTATTGAAGGAATTCTGCCTTTGAATCTGTCCACCAGTCGAGCTCTGTCTCGTTCTCCGCGCCTGATTTCGGGAGGAGCGCCAGAGAGACCTTCTCGCCGCCTTGGCATTCACACTTAGATCCGATATGTTTATGCGAGGATAAGAATAGACGCACTCTTGTCAGACAGATAAGCAACATAAGCACGACACTTGTACACCATTGGGATGATGTACATGTCCTTGAGCTCCGGGACCTTGTAGAGCGCTTCAAAGACATGTCCTTTAGGGAAGTGCTCTTGACGGGGCTTGTGCATCACGAGCATCGCACCCCGTCTGTCTATAAACTGCCAGTCTTCCTTATATTTTGCTTGGTCAATGCGCTCAACGCTACTACAGTGGCAATCAGGCAAGTTCTCCAAGTGATGACTATGTCAAAAGCTTACACATCTGATCCAGGACTGAAATCCTTTTTCCTAACGCCCATAGATCCAACAGCAAAGTCCTTCTCCTCATCATCGAGCACTGGCGGATAATCAGAGAGTTTCATCTTCCCATCGGTAGCGTCGAGCAACTTCTGAAACTCGGGATCGTACACGTTTCCCTTAACATCGAATCTGCCTGTCTGGGCGTTGAACCGACCATACGAACCGACCTAGACCATGTGAATCATCGGTAAGATAACGTCTCCAAAAAGGGTGACGTCAAACGGACTCTGATGTCCTGTTTCTCGGGAGACCAATTTGCCCACTTTGCAGTGCACTGGCGTATAAGATCTACGTATTTGAGGCTTGCGTTCACCATCGTGGCGGAGGGTAAGCATGAAAGACGCCCAGTGGCGCACTTAGATCAACCGGCGCCTCAAACGGGCGTTAGAAGGCTTCAGAAGGTTTGTGATAGATTCCGAATCGCTGCACCATATTTGAAAAATCTTGACTAAATACATGATTATCTAGTAGTCCATCAGGAACATGATCATTTCGATGGAAAGACTGTACTTAACTAGTGACACTGACGATCGTCTGAGCACTGGTCAACAACGCAAATGGTCTCAAATTTGCTGTGCGGCCCGACGGGCCAAAAAATACCCGTGACCGGCACTTGCCGCACCTTCAACAGTTCGCTGCACATGAAAAATACCTTCGCGACACTATTCAACAGGCCATAAGCACTACCCAGTAACCAGATTCGAGAGCCTGGAAGTACCAACTGCACTATCACCATTTGAGCGAGGGGATATATTTTGGAAGTTGTAGAGTTACAGGTTAGACACCTGCCAGTTTAAAGCAAGATACCCACAAACCCTCCGCCCAAGTTCAGGGCCTCGACCGCTGCTCAACACTGATGTAGGTGCTCGGGTTTACACTCTAACGCAGGAACCCGAACTCTTCGCAGGTCACATTTTTATTGACGTGCAGAAAGTCCTTCATATCACGCGGGTATGCCCATTCTACAGGATCCGCTAACGATGTCGTCCTGACAGATGGCGACCAAGGGACCGATTTCTCTTGTGGCGCGCCCATGTCGTATTCTTCGATACTCGCGCACTGCGTCAATGTCTAGTTACTTCCATTCCTATCTTGCAACTGTTACGTCCTTTTTGTCACATTTAGAATTCTTCGTGACATTTGCTCCGAGGATGACTACCGGACCCATAAGAGTAAACTACCTGCAGGTGTTAGGCTCCACGTTCGCAGGTCATCACTAATGTGAACCTCTCATGAAATTTTGAACGATACAAATAATGCTAAACGGCGAAACAGACTCCAAAATACCGATGTCAAGCTTCTCAGCGACCACTTTGCGCAGTGCGCTGCACTACGTCGAGACTGCTTGGCTTTTCACAAGATCAGACTTCCAGACAACAATCCTCCCAGGGGTATTAATTCCGGAAATATCTATTGTCGTATGCAGCGCTGATTTTGCCGTCATAGATGACATTTGCAACCGTTGTATCACCCCGTCACAATCTGCTGGCCCTGTCTTGTTCTTTGTGCTGGCTCTGGTTCCATCTCTTCCAATTCAACCAATCCTACTCCGTGCATGAAGATGTCATGAATAAATCATGGCGTCCTGTGCCATCTGGGCGCATTAGCGTCAAGGATTCTCGTACCTTACGCTGGGGACTCTTGATTTTTTGCTTGGGCCTTTCATCCCTTTTCAGCTCAAACGTGTTTATAACCAGTGTAGTGGCCACTGTGCTGATGATGGCGCCCGACGACTTTAATCTCAGCTGCCATCCCATTTTCAAAAGTTTGTGCAACATAGGATTTTATATGACGTTCGAACTCGGTTCTTCGCTAGTCATGTGTAGGTAATTCTCCCTCGGAAGATAATATTTTAGCGGGGAAATCTTCGCTTGATGAAACGAGCATAAAAGCACTTTACTCCAGCGCGCTTGACATACTTCTGACAGTTCATGCACAGGATTTCGCGGATGTCAATGGTGACCGTAATTCAGGACGACGAACGCTGCCGATTGTGGCGCCTGAAGGATCTCGCATCTATATGATTTGTGTTCTTCCACTGCTTTCCTTTGCACTGGCCTCATTTTGGAGCCTGGGGCCTCTGCAGCGTTCTATTTGTTTCTATGGGTTCTTGGGTCGCAATTCGCTACTTTCTCTCCCGCGACGAAATTCGTGACCAGGCAAACTACCGCCTGTATAATGTCCGTATCCTCGATTCATATTACCTTTTCTATCACCTCACGTTTGTCATTCCCTGTAGGTATGGCTCATGGTCGTCCTTATTTTGCCAGCTAATGAGCGTTTTCACGCATTGGCATGGTAGTGGTACCTTGTTGGGTATGTCTGTACAATCTTTTGAAAACATCGTATTGACGGGCTATTAACGCAGACAGAGCCTCCATCCCAACTTATCTTTCTTATGTGCTGTTGTCATTCCATTCGATCACTTGTCATCGATCCCTTGGAGTGCCACTAAGATATCTCCACAGTCGAAGGACTTACATTACTTCTTGAAGTTCTGAACAAGATTTTTCTAGCTCATACATTAATATTGTTGTACTGCCAGCAGATGACCCCTCCGTTCAACCTGCTTTAGTAATTTATTTATGGTGTGTGAGTATTTCTACTGTAGCTATAGGCGAGTCGTGGAAAATTTAGCCAAAATCTGTTTGTGCCTGGATCTGCCTGGCTCCCCTCTGGATATCTGTGGCTCTGCATGACTCAGGCTGTCGTGGGTTCTGACTGGGAAGCTTCACCTTTTATCATCACTGCAACCTAGGTCATGAAGGCGATGAATACAATGGGGTGATTGCAGTGAGCCAATCATGTCACTCACCGGGTCAACACCAATGATTCATTTCACAGGTGGCAGTTGTATACTGACGATATCATACACACAGATGCCCAGCATGTCTGAATTCTTTTCATTACCCTGGAATGATCCGAAGATACCGAACCAACGTTCGACGATATCACGAAAGGAACCTCGCTTGATGTTTAACGATCTTTTCAATGTTTCCAGCGATCCGAGTGGTAATAAATACGACTGAAGGGTGGACCTTCTCAATGCGTGCCAGTGCATGGGGTTCGGCTGGAAGGTCGTCATGCTACACACCACAGCATATGGGGTTTCTTCACCAACGCACATTATCGCCCTCCCCTCATCGTTGTTCCGTGTCATGAAGTGCTTGATCCAAGATGCTCATGAGCCAGGTGGAAAACGAGGATGAAACTGAGAGTGGCTTTTTTCGCGACTTAGAAAGTAACTGTGTAGAGGTCCTGAGTGTTGAAGACATGAATTCCAACATCTCGCCGGTCATGCTGTAGAACAGCCTTCACACCATTTTTGAGTGTATGATTGCCTAGGGGCGGTAGTCGAGGCAGCTACTTGTGATGGCAAATAGTGAGTTCTTTTCCGCGAGTTCTTGCATGACATATTTAGTAACTTACGTCCGACAGCAATGGAATGAGGTTGAGGCCTGAGGGCAGTGACATTCATGTGGTGCCTTGAAATGTTCGAAAGCGTAGAATGCCCTGCGTGCCATGAGCTTTGCGGCCTACTCATTTCATTCGAACGAGTCGCACCCTACAACGTGCCCATGAATGAATCTACTTATGGGCAGCCGGATATACTACGAGCCGCTTCTGTCCATTGATTCTAGCTCCCGAATATTCCAATACATCCGAGTGCTGCACATCGCTGGGTGCCACGTGCATGCTGTGGTTCCCTCCTTTATAATCCATCAGCCAGCAGTTCGTGACCTCTAACACATCTTACTCTCAAGCGTTGGTTTAAATCCACCCATCAGCTAAATGTCTGGTTTCATGCCTGATCCTCACGATGATTGCCCTCCGCCCTTGGGAGAGGAGCTAAGCCACCCAGAACACCCCCAGGACCCGGGAGATACCCAAGTCAGTGGAATACAACAAGTCGTCATTACTAGTATGTACTATGTATCTCCATTCAGCACGTATTGACGATCTTTCCCAAGGCATTCTCGCGGCTGATCTCACTCTTGGTCTTCGACGAATCCCCACTGGCTTCTACGTGACAGTAGAGGCTGATGGTACTAAATGGCAGACAAGTCACAAACCTGTACACGTAGACCAGGTCGTGGTCGAATGGAACGAAAACATCCTTCTGTAAGTTGTCCTTCTTCCCGTCTTTCCTGCGGGCATTAAAAAGATTCTAGACCATCCGAGCCGTCTTCTAAAGTTCGGGTTACTGTGTATGCCTCATTTGAATTGAGTCCCATGCTCGGTCATGGAGAACGCCTCCGCGGATTCGAGGTCTCCGTAAGGGAATTGGTAGAACGCAGTGAAAATTCACGTCGTCCGTAACTGCTGTCGTGAATCATGTCTGTCGGATGTTGACAGAACAACCCAGCTTTCAACTTTCAGCCCAAGGCGGGCGATGTCGTATCCTCGTGTACTTCGCTCTTTGCCACTGTGAAGTGGCGAGTTTCTTATGAAGGCGATGCCCCGGCTTTTTGCCCGATTGCTCCTGTGAGTAGATCAAAGCATTCTGCATATCCTGAAAACTTATAGTATGCAGTCGACATCATACGACACACACGCATTGAGACTCATGACAGATGCGGGACATTGTATTCTTGCGCGCTACAAAAGGACGCAAGACCATGGGGATCTCGATCACGCTATAAAAGACTTCGAACGCGCTTCTGATCTCTGCCCCGTTGATCATCCCTACCGCCCTGCGGCACTGTCCAACCTAGCTACCGCAAAGTTCGTCAGTTGCCAGGTTAATGGAACCTACCTCGACCTCGACATCCCCATCTCTCTCTTTCAAGATGCGCTTGATATGCGTCCCACAGGTCATCCAGACCGACCTCTCACCCAGCTCCATCTTGCCCTTGCTCTCCTGTCTCGTTGCGCGAAACGGGGATTTCAAGCGGATGCTGATGTGGCTAAAGAGTTACTGAATGAAGTTCGCAATGTCTCCCTTGCCGATAGCCATCTATCCAGAGCAGCTCTTCTTGCAATTGAAACCTCTGCTTTGGTCAGAAGCACTGATGCAAATACACTTCGGGCGGAGGGGCCCATTGCATCCATGCTTCCGTGGTCCCCGAACGAACTTGCTGATCGAGCAGAGTTGTGTTTGCACACATATGATCCCCATGCCATGGATGAAGTGATATCCCTTCATTATGATGCACTAGGATACTACAGCACAGCGAATGATCGGCGAGGGCAATTGCTGTGTAATCTCAGTATAATGCTAGTCACCCGCTTCGAGCGTCGAGGCAATAGTCAAGACCTCGACGAGGCCATTGCACTTCAGAAGGAAGCGCTGGCTTTGCGCCCAATCGGTCACACAGCTCGGTCCGAGTCATTGAATAACCTTGCAAATCAACTCTCCACCCGCTTCCAGCACCGAGGCAATGACCAAGACTTGGATGAGGCTATCGTGCTGAACAGGGAAGCACTGGCTTTGCATCCGGTCGGTCACGCGGATCGGTCCAGGTCATTGAATAACCTTGCAATTCAACTCTCCACCCGCTTCCAGCACCGAGGCAATGACCAAGACTTGGATGAGGCTGTCATGTTTCACAGGGAAGCGCTGGCTTTGCGCCCGGTCGGTCACATAGATCGGTCCTCGTCATTGAATAACCTTGCAAGTCAACTCTCCACCCGCTTCCAGCACCGAGGCAATGACCAAGACTTGGATGAGGCTACCGTGCTGAACAGGGAAGCGCTGGCTTTGAATCCAGTCGGTCACGCGTATCGGTCTAGGTCATTGAATAACCTTGCAACTCAACTCTCCACCCGCTTCCAGCACCGATACAATGACCAAGACTTGGATGAGGCTATCATGCTTCACAGGGAAGCGCTGGCTTTGCGCCCAGTCAGTCACACAGATCGGTCCTCGTCATTGAATAACCTTTCAAATCAACTCTTCGCCCGCTTCGAGCACCGAGGCAATGACCAAGACTTGGATGAGGCTGTCATGCTTCACAGGGAAGCGCTGGCTTTGCGCCCGGTCGGTCACACAGATCGGTCCTCGTCATTGGATAACCTTGCAAGTCAACTCTCCACCCGCTTCCAGCACCGAGGCAATGACCAAGACTTGGATGAGGCTATCATGCTTCACAGGGAAGCGCTGCCTTTGCGCCCGGTCGGTCACACATATCGGTTCATGTCCTTGAATAACCTTGCAACTCAACTGTCCACCCGTTTCCGGCACCGAGGCAACGACCAAGACCTCCAAGAGTCGCTAGAGAATCTCCGCTGTGCCTTGACTCTCTTGACGCAACATGATCCTCGACAAATACTAGTCCGTCAGTCACTAGCCTCCCTATATCTGCTGGCCCATCAATCAGGCCTTGGCGAAGACACGGAGGGTCTGAATGCTGCCATGCGTCATCTCAAGGCAGCAGCAAGTTCTGTCTCTAGTGGTTTGCTAGCCCGCCTGTGCACAAGTCTAAGCTGGGTTCGCCATGCTGATCAACATTCACATGGCACCGAGCTCGAGGCGTATGCAACTTCCATGCAACTTCTGGATGCTTTCATGTCTGCAACAGCTTCAGTGTCATCACGTCATCATATCATGAAGGAGTTCCAAAGCACACTCGCAGTCAATGCTGCATCGTGCGCTCTTCGTCGTGGCGAAGTGTGCCGTGCTGTAGAGCTGCTGGAACAAGGCAGAACTCTCATATGGAACCAGATGGCGCGATTCCGCATGCCTCTTGACAGCCTCCAGGACCGTGGCGCTCATGCAGAGGCGTTGGTGAAGAAATTCCGAGACCTCAGCTCCATTCTTGATCGACCTCCTTCGAATCATTTAGAAGGAACATCAAGAGTCGACGTAGAAGCAAGAGCTACGAAGTACAGATGTCTAGTGGAGGAATGGAACACAGCTCTAAAAGGTATCCGGAAGATCGAGGGCTTCGACCGCTTCCTACTCGCCCCCCTGTTCTCTGAACTTCAAGACGCCGCTCGCGATGGCCCTATCATTGTTCTCATTGCAAGCAAGTCGTCTTGCAATGCAATCATCGTCCCACACAAGGGACATCCAGTCAGTGTAGAACTCGCTATCGATGTAGAAAGACTCGTGCGATTGGTGAATGCACTGCAGTTGACGGTGGCAAAAGATTCCAGCCCTCAAAACTCGCAGAGAGAGAAACAAGCAAAGCTAGTGGAAGCTTTGAGGCAGCTGTGGGTCGAGGTAGTGCACCCTGTGGTTAAAAATCTCGCTGGAGTCGCAAAGCCAGGGTCGCGAATATGGTGGTGCCCCACTTCATTCTTCAACTTCTTGCCCTTGCACGCCGCTGGCGAATACAGACCCAATGGAACGAACCTTTCGCAGCTATACATTTCCTCCTACACTCCATCGCTTACCGCGCTCATTAAGGCTCGCAGACACCGTGACAGGGCTCTGCCCGTGTCCTTCGCTGCCATTGGTCAGAACCGCCCTTCAGGATATTTATTTGCATTGCCGTGTGTCGAACCTGAACTGGACTTGGTGAAGAGTCTCCTCCCCCCTTCCCCGACTGTGTCCTTCACCAAAGTCACGAGCAATCAATCAACGAAATCGGCCGCCCTGCGCATATTGCGCGATAACCATTGGGTTCATTTTTCCTGCCACGGGACACAGGACTTTGTGGAACCCTTCAAATCGGCATTTCTCATGCGCGACGAACCGCTTCGACTTCTAGATATCAGTCACACTGATCTGTCTCGGCACGAATTTGCATTTCTCTCTGCTTGTCAGACTGCAGTCGGTGACTTCGAAACTCCTGACGAAGCGATTCACTTGGCGGCTGGCCTGCAATTTTCTGGGGTGAAGAGTGTCATTGGGACATTTTGGAATGTCAATGACAGCACCGTGCAACGCTTAGTCGAGGCATTCTACAAAGAGTTTTGCGGAGACGGTAAGATGAATTCAAAACGAGCTGCGCGAGCGCTGCACAAAGCAGTCCAGTCGTTGAAAGACTTACCCTTGGACCAGCGCATCGTGTTCATGCACATTGGCGTATGATCAATTTTGTGCGTCCTTACCCTACTTTCTTTCTTGAGACAATCTGACGGCTTCGCATGTAGCATCCAACTATGACTGCGCGCCGGTTGTGGTCAAGGAATGATATTTCAGACTGTAGGACTGTATAACTCGCTGATATGTATTACGCCTAATCTCGACTTCCATTTGCATTGCATTTCTCAGTGTGTTGACTCAGAGCCCAAGGCGACTGCTCCTAACATGTAGATAAGAAATTATATCATTGGTTCGAACACAGATCTGGAACATAGGGACAAGACATAATTATGACGAAGTTGATAATCGCGTCTCTGAATTGTGCGACTCATGATCGACCAGTATTGAAAGCATCCACGTATGTAGCATTCCCGTGGGCCTCATGTGCGGCAGGGCGGAAGGAGATGACTTCGAGGATTCGCAAGACAATCACGTACTGTCTGGTAGATGCTTAGCATTGTCAGTGACACGCTACACTGTCAACTCACCACATATATAACACGGCTTCAACAAGCGTGGAAATGTACTTCAGCATGTCATTCATCATAGGTTTGGATGAACGTCGATGATGATTCGCGTCACCAGGCGGCGAGGTGGGAGCTTCTCACAACCAACAAGCTAAATCATTGAGACGGGACTCGACCGGTGCGATGGCGGGGATGTGTGCGTGTTTGCGATTAGAGATGGACCTGCCAGCAAGATGTCATTGATCGTGTACGAAGAAAAGAGCGAATGGAAAGTACTGGTAACAGGGTCTGATCGTCTGGGAGATGGGTATTGCATCGCAGTAAGTTGCTCTCAGCCATGCGCAAATACAGGGAAATCCGGGCCAGTTCTTAGGGAGAGTTTGTCCTCAGAGGAAATAGAATCAGCTATTTGACACAGATTCTTGTCTGAAGTAATGTCTCGGCACTTGCCGATTGTCAGGCTGCTACTCAGTCTTGGCCTGGCCATGGCCTACATAGCATTCGCCCCGAGAGTCAATTGGAGGACGAGCGCCAGAAACGTGGAGAAGTTGATTATAATAAGCTGGAAGAGAGAGACTTGAGGAGCTAGAAGAGGTCTACAGACTTTCAGATTTTATCGTGCGTATATCTACATCTACCTTTTGGCCATATCCTCCCTACAGCGCTTCATGACTCCATCATCTTATCCAGGGGCCAACTCTCCTCTCCGCAAGGTACCTTCACTCCTCATCATCATCACCTGAATCGAATCATGTTCTCGCGAGGACCTACATCAGCTCATACATGTCATTCCTCATAAATTTGCCCCTGGTGCTGCTACTGCATGCCTCGCTCGCAGAGCTGCACCCCCCAACGGTTTTACCTCGCATAGGCGTGCACAACGCTGTGTACGTAGGCGATTAGTTGAGCTTGTCTATGTAACGAGACTCCCTGGATTGACCCACAAGATCGGGTTGACTGTGGGGCAGAACAGTACGTGTCCCCCCAGCCTTTTGATCAAACTCTCGCTAAAACTGACATGCAGTCGGCACAATATCACCCCCATCAAGTATCCGGTCCTTCTGCCACAGATACTACGACGGCTGTCATGCCGTAGCACATGTCATCGATGTGCGAGACCGAGAGAGGCCGGTGAGGGCTGGGGAATCTTGGGTACTTTCTCTTCTCGTTCACCGTGCCCTCAAATTGAAATGTAATAACGAACGTCTAATTACGAATACAAAACAGATTCGGTTCTCTCCTTACCCTAAATCTTCAACAGCTCACCAGCAGACAAGACTCTCTCGAAAGCCTCTCAGCAAGGAAAGGCGTAGTATGATTAAATTTTGGAAGGATGGTACACAGACGCTTCAAGGCTGTCCTCAGTGCCAACTCCGACGCGACGTCAACCGTGGCTAAGCAGCTGTTGGCGAGTAAGCATCCGTGTTCTACATTTCTTGGCGCCCGAGTCTACCATATTTCAATGGAGATCGCACCACATGCCGATGAATCTGCCGTGCTTGATGCAGCACTTTGTGGGTTTCCCTCTCGCGTCGCAGGGCATTCGCATAACTAATACATGATATCTAATCCTGGCACGCGACCGGTCCACGCGGCAGTTTTGCCTGCTGTCGACATATAGTGCGAGAATGACTCTGAAGTTGTAGTCGGCAGCCTGCGCAGATTTGCACGACAAAGACCCAGAAAATGATGGTGCCCGAGTTCTTCTTGCTGCTACATGCTGCTGGCGAGTACTACAAGCGTGGTTGAAAATTCCTTCCAATTATGTTTCCTCATGCACACTATCACATACGGTACGTGCTGATCAGGGCTCGCAGGAGTCACAACAAATCCTTGTCCATATCTTTTGCTGAATAGGAGAAATCAATGATGAAAACGTAGTGCACCGAGTTACGAATTACAATCATCTAAGTTTACAGATGAGAAACATGTGCATCATGATCTTGTCCTCGATATATGTTTGATCTGCTAGTGCTTGCACACCGAAGAGCGTAATGACTAAGATACTCCCTCGAAATGCAGTGCTAAGGAGATAACAGATTCAGTGTATCTTAAGACTCCTGCCAATACCATTGTATGGAAAGTTGACGGTGATAAAATCCCAAAGCGCTAAGGTTGGGTATCTTTTACAAACACGGAGGAAAGAATGAGCTTAGCCAGTCGCCTGAAAATATGAGCCTCTCTTGCAGCCCAGATAAACCATAATATGAACATGGTGACGACTACGCACCCGCTGGCAACTGATGCTGGCATGGCCGTCGTCGTAGATTTGAACACGTTGTACAGAAGGGCGATTGCAAAGTAGATCATCCTGGTCAAGGGTAAGGTGACCATTAGCCTGATTAAAGAGTATCGATCCACTTACCCCCACATAAGCGTTACGTATGGCAGGCTGTAAACCGTTGCGAGGGCTTTCACTCCAAAAAATGTACCCGTCAAATTTGAGAGGAATTCAGCCTAAGTAGACTAGTTAGCATAGTAGCGATGGACGTAATGATGATGACTTGCCGCTTTTTGTCATCGACTCATCCCCATTTAAATATGACCTGATTCACTCACTCGTTGGGGAGTTTCCTCATGAGCGCTGGAATTCTATCACACTTGCGAGATTTATCTCTGGAGAGCGACTCCTCAACGCCATCCACAATTAAGATCAAGTGTTGTACGTACACAAGAAGACGATTATCGTATCGTGAAACATCATTCGCAGCGAATGGCACAAAATGGGGGGTGATGCCGGGGGCATTGGAAGAGAATCTGTTACCAACATTTGCGAGCGAAGAGGTCTGGAGCGAGTCATGTCGCTGGGGAATGCATGGAACAGGCATGACGCACGGAGGTATTGAAGATGACACCACATATTGAGTGCTGCTTGCTGCACTCGCCGAAGTTATGTGTTGGTTGTACAGCGGCAATGGCAAGTTAGCGAGCCCCTTCAGTGAATTCACCCGTCTGAGACGGGCAGCCGGGCGTGACAATGTACCGATAGAGACGAGCCATCCGGTGTGGGCCGGTGGCAATAATTGTACCGTGATAGACGAGTGGGCCGAGGGTGTGGTGTATCCGAGGCAAACGGATGGGCCGGGGGTATATAGTATACATGGTAGTATAGCAATGTACTATATAGGTGATTATGAATGGTGGTGAATCCAGTGTGTGATAGCGAGTGGGCCGGTAAATAAGGCACAATGGAGACGAGGGGGCCGGTAGATGAGATGCAATGGAGACGAGGGGGCCGGGGAATGGGGTGCAATGGAGACGAGGAGGCCGGGGAATAGGGTGCAATGGAGACGGGTGGGCCAGCCGTATGGGGTGCAATGGAGATGGGTGGGCCGGTGTTACAGGGTGCAATGGAGACGGGTGGGCCGGAAGATGAAATGTAATGTAGACGAGGGGGCCGGTGTTACGGGGTGCAGTGGAGACGGGTAGGCCGGTGAATGAGGTGAAATTGAGACGGGTGGGCCGGCCATATGGGGTGCAATGGAGATGGGTGGGCCGGTGTTACAGGGTGCAATGGAGACAGGTGGGCCGGAAGATGAAATGTAATGTAGACGAGGGGGCCGGTGTTACAGGGTGCAGTGGAGACGGGTAGGCCGGTAAATGAGGTGAAATTGAGACGGGTGGGCCGGTGTTACGGGGTGCAATGGAGACGGGTGGGCCGGTAAACGAGGTGAAATCGAGCCGGGTGGGCCGGGGTTACGGGGTGCAGTGCAGACGGGTGGGCCGGTAGAACAGGTGAAATCAAGACGGGTGGGCCGGTAAAGGAGGTGAAATTGAGCTGGGTGGGCCGGGGCTATGGGGTGCAGTGGAGACGGGTGGGCCGGTGGACCAGGTGAAATCAGGACGGGTGGGCTGGTCAACCAGGTGAAATCAAGACGGGTGGGCCGGTAAAGGAGGTGAAATTGAGCCGGGTGGGCCGGGGCTATGGGGTGCAGTGGAGACGGGTGGGGCCGGTCAACCAGGTGAAATCAAGACAGGTGGGCCGGGGCTACGGGGTGCAGTAGAGATGGGTAGGTTGGTTGACCAGGTGAAATCAGGACGGGTGAGCCAGCATTGCGGTGTGCAATAGAGAGGGGG